CATTTCTGTGAATTGTAATTTCTTGGATTCATAATTGAAATAATTTTCAGCTTTGCTTTAATAAGTTGAAAATGCAAATAATTAAAGTATAGTTAATTAGAGTGTTTAAGCAATGTATGAGTAACTATGCTAAAGATGGGCCAAAACGAAGTTAAGAGCACTGGCAAAACTTAAGAGCTAATCAAGTAAGTGTTAACATATACAGAGGAGATATATGCTTTCAGAATTCATGTTTACTTTTGTTCAATAATTAGAATTTAAAAATTATAGATGTCAAAGCTAACCTTCCAAAATCATCAAATAATTACATTTAATATTAAAACATTATTTGGAAGGGGACATGAAAATTCATTTATTCATCCAATAATTATTAATGGAATATTTTCTGGGTGACTAGAACATTTAGTGTATTTGGTGCTATGGAGATATATTTTATACTGATTTACACACAGACACACACATATACACATTCCAAACATTAGAAAATAGTGACCCCAATGCTTTTTCTATAATCTTACTTAAGTCTAGTCTAGGGCAGAATCAGTCCCCTTGCCTTTTGTCCACTTTTCCAGGTCTGGGAAAGGGAATATACTTAAAAAGGAGAGCATTTGAAGGCAATGAGCAAGGTCATTGAACAGGGGAACAAACATTAAAGTAGGCCATTTACATTCCTTGAAAGCCATGGTCAACACTCAGTTATGTGGAATCTCTTCTCCATGACATGTGGATTGCTTCACAGGCCAGCCTCACCCACTTACAATGAGTTTGTAGTCAAGGAATGATTCCTATTGATAGGCACAGGAGTGCATTGAGCAAAATAGATTCAGTGAAATCATTAAACTGAGATTCTGAACCTTTGCAGAAGAATTATCAAAGAGGCTGGGTAAAAACTAAAACTACCAGGATCCCACCCCCAGAGATCTGGATTCAGTAGGTTTGAGATAAGTACTAGGAATCTGTTTTTTATATAAGCACACTCCAAGGGGCTCCAAGGACCAAGTTTTTATAAATATTTAAATGAAGGCAAAAGAGTCTACACATGAAATTTACAACTTGTAATAGAGGGTAGAAAGTAAGGGCAGATATATTCTCGGAGGAATTATCCAAAACGAGTGAACACAAAATCTGTCAAGTTGGTTTATTTTTTTATTCAGCAAGTATTTATTGAGCCCCCATGCTATGTCAAGGACTGTCCTAGCAGCTGAACATATAATAGTGAGAAAAATCAATCACTGCTTCTACTTTTATGGGTGGAGACCTATGTCTTATACAATTCTTTGCCACACAGAGATGAAAAAAAATTCATGTTCAATAAATTTGGATAAATGTTGAGAAAGCAAAATCCCATATGTACAAAGAATCAAAGTTTGGATTGAAAATTCTAAGTAATCTTTATGTTTTATTCTTATTCTAACATGTGACACATTACTGCACTGTGTTTATGAACACGTGGTCATGTTTAGCAGGAAGAATGCCTAATTAAATTTCTCTGATTATATTGGGGATGAACTTAATGTACCCAGCCTGACATCAACATAATTACACTTTCTAAGCCCTGGATACATGACATGTGATATGGTTTACAAAGCTAACATGAGGTTAGGAGTAATCATCCCAGCCCAATCTGTGCCTGAAATCCATTCCCACATACATGTAGCTGGCTCATCTGGATATGTTATTCATACATCCACTCATCACTTCCTGGGGGATGGTGAGGATTATTCTCATTATGGCAATCAGTAGTACAATTAGTACATGTTTAAAATTGCTTTACAGATATTTTGAGTCATATGCTAAGTTATCTATATTGATTGTTGCCATTTATAGCTACTGTGCACTCATATAAAATTAATTGCTAACTAGGAAGTAATATAAAATATAGTATCAAGTCCAACCTTCCTGGATAAACAAAATTAGAGGTTTAAAGGAATAAATAATTAATTCTTAGAATCTTTTTGAGAAATCTGATAAGATCAAAATGCTTTTTAATGATACGAAAAGGAAAATGAGTAGGTATTTAAAAAGCAATTTGAAACTCTTGTTTTTTATGTTTTATTTATTCATTGTACAATATTAGTACTAATTACACTTATGATTTTAATTGTAACAGTTCAGTTATGGAGCTAGGCAATAGACAAAATGTTCAAGCATAACTGATGAATTTCATTAAACTAAAATAAAAGTAAAGCTTAATTGTATATACTAATAGCTTTGTCTGGAACTGTGTTTCTCAAACTGTGGTTTTAGTAGATATTCAGAAGCAAAAATTCCCAGTGGACAAATCTGTTTGGGAAACACTGATCTAAAATATTTATTTGAAAAATACTGATGAGTTACAATAATGCGAAAAGGTAACATGTATTGATGCTACCATGTGCCACACATAGAGCTAGATGTTTTAGTTGAATTATCTCACTTAATTTAGCCTTCTATGAAAACGAAGATTAATTACAGCTATAAATGTCTCAATTAAGCATAATACAAGTAAGGAAAATTATATGCAAAGATGCTTAAATAGGGAAAACTATGTCACCAGCCATAACTGAAGCATTATTTATACTTTCTAAAAAATAACTAAAGTTATATTCATTTATTGAATTAATATCAAAAACATTCTTTGAAAAAAATGGTGATCTTGGTATTCACAGTAAAACGACTTAATACATTTTTAAATTTTCCATCTAGATATTCAGGATTGTGTAGGCACAAACTAAGTGTATTTCAAATGGAAAATAAGTTCCACTATAAATAGTGTTATAATTTTCCCTTTATTACATTAGAAATGGATTGCAACTTGTTCTTAGGAAAATTAAATAAAATTGCATTAAATACAATACTTGGCAATTATTCTAATGCTATTGTAGTAAACGGTCTTTTATTCACTGAATGAGAATTAAAAAATCAATGGTACGAATTCTACGTAAGACCATTTCATTAAACAGAAGATATTTCATTACAAATAAATGTATAGTGTACACAACCTTGTTTAGGATGCATAGATAATACAGAAAGATAATTATTTAAAAAATAGAATAACAATTCTATTAAGTATTCAGTGTCTAGTTGCAAAGGGGTTCACCAGCCACTATTTTTACAGCCATGGAATAAGTTGCCGCAAATTAAGGAAAGAAATAAACTCATGGTCCTAATCAAATGTGTGGCGCATACATGCATCAGTATAAATCAGTTAAAACAACAGAAGATATTATTATTCTATTTTATTATTTTGATCTTACTACATACATAGCAGAACATTAATGTAACTACAAGGTTAATAGAGCAGGTTGAGTTTCAGATTTCAAAATCTAGCATGGCATAGCTGAAAGAGATTGCCAACACCTTCTAGTCCAGTACCTCGTAATACTGGTGAGCAAGCCAAAGCACCAGAGATCTTCTTACCAAAAACCATGCAGGGAATTCAGAAAAGGCACACATCTCATCCAGCCAGCCAACCAATCAGTCATCCAGCCATCCAGCCATCCAGCCAGTCTTCATTTCATGCATTCATTCGTTCAACAACTATTTATTAGATACCTGTATGTGCTAGACGTTTGGGGTGTGCTATGAGAAAAACAAAACATGATTCCTGGCCTTATGGTAACTGTGGGAAAACATTAATCAAATAATCACTCACATATACACATGATTACAAACCAAGACAAGTGTTCTAAAAGCAAGGAACATGGTATATGGGAATGTGTAAAAGGAAACCTGATCTAAACCAGGGGGTCAGAAAGGGCTTCTCAGAGGACGTATATAGCTTTTGGACTGAGTAGTAAAGGTGAGAGACTAGAAAAGGCTATAGACACCTTACAGAAAGAGTATTTGAGGAAAAGAAAGCCTGGCTTGTTAGTGTCTAGAAAGTAATGAGAGAGGAGCGAGAAGAGCTGACAGGGTAGACTGCCCCACACCAGCAAGTGCCTGTAGTCCATCCAGATCATCATTTGTGATCTTTACCGGAAGAGTCATGGGGGGCTACGAAAGAGTTTTATAGCAGGATAAAGTTACAACTCCCATCTTTGACAGTTTTGTTTTCACCTGGGCAAATGCCAGATTCATAAGTGGCATTCAAGGTATAGGATCTTTCTGTAAGTTTTAGTGGCCTGTGGAAGGGGTAAGGTGGGACAGATGGAGAATGGCAATATGGATATAAAAGGGCATTGGGATTTGGTTGCCTTATTATCTGCCTGGTGTATCTGACTGCTTCAGGGCTCTGTAATGAATATTTGTTCTGAGAATAAGATGATGTTTGAAAAACACAATGGTTTTGAAGGATTCAAATATAGATTGAATTTGTTTGTGGTTTGTGAGCTACATTAGATTAGCTTTTCTACAGAAAACCCTCTACTCTTGGGACTTCTAAGATATTTTGTATAGATCAAGGGGTTTTCTTTCCTTTCTGTCTGCTTTCTTTTTCTCAAAGTCCATAGTATGAGAAAATAGCCTATATTCATAATACCTCTCTTGAGATTTCTGAAGGCAAGGGTTCTGGCCAATCTCATTTGACCAACTGGGATGCTAAAATACATCATTGATAAATCAGTTGAAATCTGAACCAAACCTATGTGAGGAAGTACAGTGAATTGCATAAGAGAGTGAGATTTTAGCCAAACCTACCTGGTCTGTAACCCCAGCTCTGCAAAGACTAGAGTTGTTGGAACCTCATCTCATCTTCCTTCTGGAAAACCTTGACAACTCTTCACTGCCTGAAGAACCATGCTCTGCATGGCCTTCCTTTGTAATCTTCATCTTCCCCTACAGTTTCCAGCCAGTTTTCCCTTCCAGGCAGTGAAACTACCTCCTTAATTCTTACTTATCCTATCTACAAAAAAGGAGATACTATTATTAATAATTAATAGTTATTATGAAAGGAGTTCAACAATCACTTAGCAAATAGCAGATATTATTATATAAGAAAGAACAGATGAAGGCCAGGCTTAGCATTTATTTGAGTTGTTAACCTTCTTTTTAATAAGGATGTGTTTGCTCTTCCCCCAAAGTTCATAACTCTGAAGAAAATACAATGAGAGCACTCACACTGAAGGATATTTTAAATGGGACATTTTCTTATAAAACATTTTTTCCAAACTGGATTTCAGGTAAGTGCATTATTTATCTTTAGGGGTTTTTAAAAATGTATTTTGTTTGGTTTTTACTTCAGTGCCAATGCATCTCTATAGTAACTGAAGCCGTATCAGTTGAAATGTACAAAAGAACAATTATTTGAATGGTTCAAGTGCTCAAAAAAGCGCTTTTGACGAAACCATTCATACTGGATTGCCTCATAGTAATGAGGCCAATAGAGTTTTAAATAGAAAAAGAAAAGTTGAAAAAGTATTGTTGAAATAATTTGAACGTCTGTAATCACTTTTCAGAATGGTAGATATATTTTTATTTAGGAGAAGTCACAAAAATTTTACCAAAAGAGAAATTCCATTATTAATCTGGATAATCTGGAGAACAGGCAAATCTCAATCTGACAATGAACCCTTTAAGGGTCATGAAATCGGTATTTTCATGTAGCTTTTCAAAATAGGATGTTATAAAACAAATCTAATCAAATAAATAGTGAGATCAACTAAATAGTCTATGAAGTTTTAGTTGCATATCTTAAGTGTCACTGAACAAAATGGAATATTTTAATTTTTTCTCTTAAGAAAATAAAACTAATGCAAAGTGAGTTTTAATTGAACCAAACACAATCTAAATGTAATTTATGTTTATTATTGCAAAAGAAATGTACATTTCAAACTAGTTTATCCCCTTTGTAACCCAGAGAAAACAAAATTGTGTTCCTAAGCACCCTGAATCAGCTAAAATAGGGCTGCTGTTTGCAAATGTGGCATCTTCGTGTGAAGTAGAAGAAAGCATTCTACCTTCTTCCTTCTACCACCAACCTACGATTTTACATCTCACAAAGCAATGTGTACTGGACAGAGAGGAAAAACAAAGTAGGTCTGTGAAATAGGAGAGGTTTCTTTTGTTAGGAATGCATTTCCTGTTAAGAGAGATCATTTAAATTTTGTTTTCTTTCTTGTTTAAAGGACAAGAATATCTTCATCAATCTGCAGATAACAATATAGTACTTTATAATATTGAAACAGGACAATCATATACCATTTTGAGTAACAGAACCATGGTATGTATCCAACATCATCTTCCCCCTCAGAAACCTTTGCCAGCTCTTCATTGACCAAGAAACAGAGTTCAAAGTCTTAGCACCTGATCTGGACACAACTTGCCTTCCCAGCTCCATACTCCACTAGAGTCTTCCAGTTCTGTCTGCTAATCCCATTAGACTACTGTCTTTGGCTTCTTCTAAATCACCTAACATCTTTCCTCCTTTTTGAATATAGTATAGCATAAGATAGGAGTTAAGAACTCAGTCCTTAGTGTCAGGCCAATTGAGGTTCAAATCCTGGCTCAGTCCCTTACTGGTCGTGAAACCTTGGGTAAAGGGTTTTACTACACCAATCTTATTATGCCTCAGTGTTTTCCTTGGTAAAGTGGGAATAATAATGCCTCTTTTGTTTCATAAAAGAATTAAATGAAATAACATTTGCAAGTCCGTAGGGCAGTGCCTAACATAGAATAAGTGCTTAATAAGTGGTAGCTATAAAGTATGGGCACTTAACTGTTCTGTCCCTTGGGCTGCCAGTCCTCCAACTTTCTCCACTCTGAAAAACCTACTAATCTTTTAAAACCAAGTTTAGATCATACTCTCTTTCTCTTTGCAATCAATAATCCTCTGATTTGAGTTTAATCATTTCTTTCTTAATAATTTCGCAATGCTATATTGAATCTTTTATAGGACATTCTAATTTGTAGTATGTTACTCCTTAACAAGTTCATAAGTTTCTTGAAATCACAAAGTATATATTGTCTCTTGCATCCTTCTCCCACAGTATCTAGCAAATTTCTTTGAATTATAGTTTAGTTCCACAAAATATTTTTTTCAATTGCATTGAAAGTCTATGTATGTAGGAGTATGTTAATAATATAATATTCTTTTAAAACTACAAATTTACATGGCTCTTTGTTATCTTTTCTGTATTCTAATCAACCTCTTCATTATTTCAGAAAAGTGTGAATGCTTCAAATTATGGCTTATCACCTGATCGGCAATTTGTATATCTAGAAAGTGATTATTCAAAGGTATCAAGTATTTAATTTGATTATATCCAATTATATCTTCTACTAATCCACAAGGTGGTTTAAAAAAGTGAGAGAAAGCAAGAGTCTGTCTTTACCTCTAAATGGTCACCAATAATCTTCAGCAAGACACGTTTCAATCTTATGGAGCTTGTTTAAGTGTGAAAGCGCTTTAAGGAACAGAGTCCAAAATAATACTTGCATCATTCATTAACAACAGCACAAACATACTTAACAAGGAAACGAAGAGCTTTGTTCACGAAGAATTATAAGCCAAATATTCTTATTCATTTGTTTCAATTATTATTTTTAAAACTATACTCAAAGAAAGGCAAGCATTTTGCAGCAAAAATACATGTTGAATGAAATTCTCTTTACCCAATTTTAAGGGGTATAATTAGAATGAATTACCCAGGTGCAGGGTATTCCTTATGGACTGTGGAAATCATTGTGGTTTTACTTCAATACAGGTAAAACATGAAGGGAAAATTTCTGGGATAGAGTATGCAAAGATAAGCTTTTTATGTTAGGAAATTTCTTTGGGTATGCTTTTTATGGAGTGAGGGTTGAATCACTGCTGAGATTAGTTCTGGAACTTGCACAAACGGCACAAAAGTCCACAGTAAGACTCTTTAAATGAAGACTCATTTGGAATTGAAACATATTCTTCCTTGTGCCTTGTGAAAGTAGTCCTTTTATAATTCTGAACTTTGAATTGGATGATATATGATTATACATTATTGATGTAAGCTTTCTAACAATTGCAATTTGTTTTTTTGTCTTTCTTCTTTCTGACAGCTTTGGAGATACTCTTACACAGCAACATATTACATCTATGACCTTAGCAATGGGTAAATCACCTCTGTTTATCAATACTACTTAAATCTAATACCTAGAATGTTTTCATTCCAAACTCTGATTTGGTGTTAAGAAGACTTTATCTTCTTACAGATCATTGTTTCTTACTTTTTAGTAATACAGTATATATGTACCCATAAAGCTTACAAAATTCAAGAAAATACTTATATGGGATACTCACCTCTTTATTTGACTAATATTTTGTATTTTTATTCACAATATTGTTTCGGATTTTCTGTTTTTGAAGATCAAATTAAACATGTGCTATTTATGGAAAAAACATATATAGGAAAGCACAAAAACATTCTTGGGAATGAGACACTATTTTTAGGAGAGCGGCTATTTCACTGATGGGAGGAGGAAGGGAGGGAGAGAGATGCAGCATTAGTTGTGTCTGAACACATACTCCATTAATTGTTTTAAAATTAATTATTATAAAAATGACAAAATGTTAAAATTATTTTTAAAATGGAAAGATATTTGACATGTAAACTACTAAATGTTCTTTTGAATTAATTTAGTTGGTAGATAAATTGTCAAATACCATTTTCCATATATATATATATATATATATATATGTTAACTGTTTGAAGCATTTACCGTTTAAAAGAAAAAATTAAATGGATGTGCAGATAGGCGAAGGATTGACAAAGAGAATTTCTGGCAGCAAGAAGAATATGTAAAGGCCTAAAAGGGGGAGGGAGAGCATTGTGCGTTTGGGAAATGCAAAGTAGGTCAATTTGTTTGAAATTGAGGGAGGGGCCTGATGACTAGTAGGAGGTGGTGTAAGGTTGGGGAACAGCCAAGCCAGGAAGCATAGGCCAAATAATAATGAGGAAATCATTAAAATGAGTTTAGATCTTTCTTTCTGATGACAATAAGGATTCATTCAAGGGTTTTAAATGGAAAATGACATGATCAGATTTGCACTTTAGAAAAATCACCCTGGCTAAGTTTGGACAATGAATTGCCTTAGCTACTCACCTTAATGTGATATCCTCTTTGCTGTTATATAAAAGGGGAAATAATTATATGGCTTGAAGAGGTATTGAAAAAAAACTTCTGGTCTATTTCCCCTTTTGTCTAGCAAGAGCACAATTTTTTTAACAAAAATTATCTATCTGCTTCTTTCAAATGTTCAGAGAATTACTCTGATCTACTTAAACTGTCAAATTAAGAAATAGCAACTGCTTCTTAAAGTAGAATCTCAAATCCATCTAATGCATTCTGAGTCCTTCTTGCCTCTGAATCCATATCATCACCAAATTTTAAAAATATTTATTGAGCCCCTTCTATGTGAAACACATATAACAATGAGATGCAAATGAGCTTGGGGCACCAGCCCTACTCTTAAGATCTCTTTCTATTAGTGAGTGGGGAATCCTAGTCTTTCAGTCCAGTTTCTCAAGGCTCTCATCATGTCTTTGTTTTTCTTTCAATCATTTTGAAATTCTTTTGTTGAGGCTCGCCAAGTTGAACAGCATTCAAAAAAATGATAATCTTTATATTTTAATCATGGATTAGATAAGCTTTATGGCCTAAAATCGCATTAAATATTTAGTTTCTCTGCAGTGAATTTAATCAAATCACTATTTTTGTTTGTTTGTTTCTTTGTTTTCTGCACAACTATCTAGTATTTCAGATTTGGGGAGGGGGCGGTCAGGTAAATACAGCATAACTTAGGAAGTGAAGGATGGATGGCAAACTTGTTTGAGATTCCAGGCCTCCCTGAACACCACTAATTTCAAGTCTTTTTTATGCCTTTGAAGACTCTATAAAAATCTAGCATAGAGAAAATAAGACAGTACTGGTTTCAAGCTAGGTAGGCAAAACTGAGGAGATGAACGCCTTTGTAAAGCATCCTCCCTCGCCTTTTCTCATACCTTTACTGACTCAGAAAACAGAAAATGGCAGCTGTGGTGGCTTGAGACATGCGCTGAGATTTTTAGCTTACTGCTGCCTGTGTGATTGCATAGATGATTCCACTGCGTGCAGAAAACTGAGACAATGTTACAGTATCAAAGGTAACAGGAGCTTGAGAACAAATTGTGAACCAGGTGAAGAACGTCTTCTTCTTTTGTTTGAGACAGGGTCTCGCTCTGTCGCCCAGGCTGGAGTGCAGTGGTGTGATCTCGGCTCACCGCAACGTCCTCCTCCCGAGGTTAAGCAATTCTCCTGCCTCAGCCTCCTAAGTAGCTGGGATTACAGGCTTGTGCCACCACTGCTAATTTTTGTGTTTTTGTAGGTACGGGGTTTCTCCATATTGGCCAGACTGGTCTCGAACTTCTGGCCTTAAGTAATCCGCCGCCCAAAGTGCTGGGATTACTGGCGTGAGCGAGCGGGCCAGGCCTGGGTCAATCTTTTAACCGGGCTCTCGCATCCCTTTCAACGTATTCCCGATCACCCAGGTGCCTGGTGCTCATGTACTGCCCTCTGGCGGCCAAGACTCTCATTGCAGAGCCAATGGTCACTGTCCACGGGAATCACTTTCCCCACACAAAACTATGCCATGTTCCCTTGTTACTTGCTAGGTCTCATGCAAGCACCTAAAAAGTTACATCAAGGCAGTGTGTGTTACAGATCTTCACAATCGTCCAAACATTAAAAGAATGGGAAAGGCAGAAATGTCAGGCACATGTTAGGTCCAGGTTGGAGAGCTTTTTTTGGAGAGGTTGGGCTTTTTTGAGTCTCTTTTTTTTTGGAGAGGTTGGGTCTTTTTTGAGGCTCTTCAAATTGTGCTTGGGCGGCAGGTCTTGCTTTGCTTTCCCTTGAAGGCAGTCTTGATGAAACTGTTAATCCAATCTTCAAGATGACAAAAATCAAAAAGTAAGCATGACATCCTATGACTCTGTAACAGTTATAAAAATCTGAATGCATTCTTGCTGAAGAACTACAAAAGCTCCACAATGCAAGTCACTTAACTGAATACTTGCAGAGTGACTCTAAGCATCAAAGTGAGAGTTTTGGCCAATAGACTATTTGAAATTTCCCCATGGGTGGAGGACTTTACAAGCTTAAGGCATACTGCCCAGTATACAATCCGTTTTTCAGTTTAGCTTGAGATCAGATGTTCCTTTCCTTTTCTGATTTCAAGTCAGATCCCTGGGGAGATTGTCAAATGGCATCTTATTTTCAAAAATTTGAAATGCATATGCATTCACAGAGATGGGGGTTGTGAATGAGAATGTAGAAGAGCACATACTAAACTTCAGCACAATTATAGAATTTCAGAGCTGGAAGGCACTTCAGTGACCATTTCAGTCTAGTGTGTGCAAATTTTACAATCCCAGGGGTTAAAAGGACTTGAGTTTAATTCAAGGTCTGCCAAGAACTAGCAATGTGGTCTGAAAAAGTTCTATCAGCTCTCTAAGCCTCATATTTACTTTCTATAAAATGAAAGGATTGTATTAGATAATTTCTAGAGATGTTCTCCACTTTGACAGTCTGTAAGTATTTAATCCATTCACCTCATGATAAAGGTCAGAAAACTGACACCCAGAAAAGTTAAGTGACTCTTAAGTAACTACTGGAAGAACAGAAATCAACACCTATGTCTCCAGTTCTTCATTCCTGTATTCTTTTCATTAGGTTTGTAGGTGCAGAGGGAATGAGCCTTAATTTTAATTGTTTGTTTATTTTTTCTGTTTATACAGATTATTAATTTTTTTGCATTAAACAGCAAGATTTGTTGTTTTTCTTTCTTTCTTTCTTTCCTTCTAGAGAATTTGTAAGAGGAAATGAGCTTCCTCGTCCAATTCAGTATTTATGCTGGTCGCCTGTTGGGAGTAAATTAGTAAGTGTTTAAATTTTTGAAGTGTTTAATCATGTAAATAAAAGAGGAGCCATTTGATTTTGGCCTTTGTTAAATTTCCCTGCCTGAAAGAAAAAAAAAAATACATTCATGACTATTTTAGTGGTTAAAAACGGGAAGAGTTTTGATAAATTGAAACCCATCTGAGAATTCCGCAAAATCTCAAGCTCATGGATAGACTTCTTTAAATATAGCAGTCAAAAACTTTATCCTTATACTCAGCCAGAATGCGTTGTGCCAGAAAGCTCAGGAAAAATATGGTTTTCACAAGTTTCCCAGACTAGCTTCAGACAACATGAAATTTGGTCCAAGCTCTTATTTAAGGACTCTAAATAAAGATTAGATCTGGCTAGCTATTAATATTCAGAGATTTATTCGACTTTCTGTCAATATACATAATTATTTATTTGGGGGTAATGAAACAACTAAGAAAATAATAGGCTTTCCTTTTTATTTCATTCAGACTTTAAAATTTATAATTGATGTTAATGTAAGGTGGTTGGATTTTTTGACCTATTAAAATGATATTTTAGTTGTGAATCTTTTTTGTATCTTTATGACCACTCTGTTTAAAGGTATCAGAGGAATAACTAAAACAAATATACAGCCTTCATTTAATTTGTTGGGGAATTTCCCCTTACCACCACTTCTAGGCATATGTCTATCAAAACAATATCTATTTGAAACAAAGTCCAGGAGATCCACCTTTTCAAATAACATTTAATGGAAGAGAAAATAAAATATTTAATGGAATCCCAGACTGGGTTTATGAAGGTAAGCTGTATTCCTTTTCTACTGTTAATGCTTTAGGCTTTTAGTTTAAAATAATTTCATATATTTAGTAAGATTTAGATGAGTAGTATCTTATTTCCATGAAGGGTAGCATTGCTGAAAATTGTCTGTAGGTTACGAATAGGGCATACGTATTTTAAAAGAACAAATTGTGGTTATCAGAAGACTGGTAGAATTGATTTTCATTAACATTACTATGAAGTAGTAGTAATGATTTATAATCCAAAAACGTATATGGTCCTCAGGTGCTGCATTAGTACATTTTCTCATGTTTACTTTTTCTTTAGGAATCAATTTTTTTTTCAAAACTAAACAACTGTCTATATTATCTTATGGGAAAATATTTTTACTTTCTGATACTCTGTTGATTTTGTTCTCATTCTTGGTAATGTAGAATTCAGGAATTAACTGGACTTTAAAAAGACTTCTAGTCTCTATCTATCTATCTATCTATCTATCTATCTATCTATCTATCTATTTATCTAAACTAACTCTGTTTTTTTGCTTTTTTTTTTAATTCCTAGGAGGGAAATGTAACTTTCAATGTTTATGCCACTCTCTAGTACAATTACAGTTCTTTCTGTTTTGGCTGTTTTAGGTGACTAAAAAACCTGAAGCTGCCCTGAAAGAAAAAATTAATTATTGCCGATGTGTTTATTATTCATTTAAAAAATTACATTTCTGATTAATGTCATTTTCTAACAAGGCTAATTGATGTTTGACATAGAGTAAAAGGTTAAACTATTCCTCTTAACTCAGATTATGTAATTTTTTTAATAACCAAAGTATGACATATGTCACATCCACATTAAATAAATTATTTCAGTTGATAAATAGCTATTCAGAAGTATTTACAATGATTTTAAGAGTAAGATGTAATTATAGTTAATATCCTAGTACTTATTTTTCAGAGGAAATGCTTGCTACAAAATATGCTCTCTGGTGGTCTCCTAATGGAAAATTTTTGGCATATGCGGAATTTAATGATACAGATATACCAGTTATTGCCTATTCCTATTATGGCGATGAACAATATCCCAGAACAATAAATATTCCATACCCAAAGGTATGTTGAATACTTTCAGCAGATGCTTTCATTTTCCTGGTATCAAAATGAGCAATGATTTACCATGAGTGAAGGTGGGATCAACAAGTTTGGAGAGCTTCTTATCCTTGTGCATTGTAAGGCAAACATTGTACTGTGCTCTATTATTTATGTGGACATCTGTTGCTTTGGACATCTGGTTGTGCTGGATGAAGTAGTCTTTGCAAAATCTATTGCAGAATCTTTGAAAAACATATGGTCTTGATCATGGAGGAAAAACAAGCTTAACTTAATTTTAATTTTTTTTCATATTTCATGCTCCAAATTCAGGGTAAAGTTCTGTTTTGCAATTCTCTCTTGAATTCTCATGTAAATGCAAACTAGAATAAGAAATACAAATGTTGAATTTGATGTTTCTGTCAGGTAGAAGCAGGCATGGGTTATGATCTTTTCAGGATATACAAGATAGGTTAAATTTGTAAGTCTCAATTTCTCCCTTGAAGGAATTAGATATGGTGTGAGCCCATAGTTTTTTGAATATTTAACATTGTAGAGTTGTTATACATTCTTTTTATCCAGTCTTACGTCTGGAGGGGGGAGACCTCAGTGTGCAGTAGGAGAATGGGTTATGTCTCAGTGAAGAAGCATTATGTCCTAATTTCAATGTAAAAATGGTATCAGAAAAAATGGAATCAAAGTACAAATTCACCTCTTGCACAAGGAATCGGATGTGATTTTAGAATTACTTCTTTGTTCTTTGGATCCTATTCCTTTTACTCGCCAAGACGAACATTGTCATGGCTGGACACAGTGGGTCCCTGTGTGACAAAGATGGATGGATGTGGCATACACACAAATGAATTCTAAGCAAGCCAAAGTGGCCATAGAGAAAGAAATAGAATTGCAAACAGTCTAATATTTATGTTAAAAGTCTAAAAGCTGTGTTAAAACGCTAAAAGCTGGAGATGTTTGGGAGAGGCCTAGCATTTTGGGGGGACCCAAGATGTAAAAGAACTCAGATCTTTGGGAGGACCTAAGGGAGCAGGAAGAGATGGGGAACCCAGAACCGAAAAGTGACTGGCACTGATTGGGAAGTTGGGACCCACATTCTCATATTTCCTTGAGGCTTAAAGTTGCTAAAACATCTGGCATTAGGTGGAGATGTGGGACAATTCCAGAAAACTAAGGGAGCCCCTGATAAACTTGGGAGTGAAACAGGGAGGTCCTAAGGGAGATTGAACAGTTCTTTGGATGAATTCAAACAGCACTGAGTCATTAAATACCGTGTACCTACATTTCATAAATTTAAGTTTTATTACAACTGCAAGATTCTCTCTTTCTACGGTAAAATAACAGAGAAACTCTAAGAAACTGTCTAGGTATGAGCTATACTGTCATGTAAATTTTAAGTATGCAGTAGTATAGAAAGCACAAAACAAGAAAAGTGTAAATCTCATGGATACTTCATTTGGAGGTGAAATTTCCCTAATCTTTTGGAGATGGTGGCAGTAATAATACAAGCAGGTAGGAGACTGAGCATTTGGTGATTGTCCTAGACCAAATCATATGGCAAAAGCAAAAAATGTCTTTCATTTATTTTTTCTTTCTGTTCTCCTCTCAAATTAATCCCCCTCTGAACTCTCCTTGGTATACAGAGATATGATTATTATTATAGTTATCCCAACAATAAAAATGAGAGAGCTCCATCTTGGAAATCAGAAAAGAGAATATGGTTCACAGAACTGCACTTTCATATCCAAAATGATTTTCCCTATAAAGTAAAGCTCTCTCATTAGGCATTTAAAACACCTATTTTCACTCTGGTTGACGCAACATTTGTAATTGCCCTGCAGGTAAAATTGAAATGAAATTCTTGTCATGTTATAAATAGAATGTATTCCACAGTGATATACATAAGATTATTCACTTAGAAAAATGTGTCTAAATTCCTACAATTTATTTAAAATGTTGGTGATAATTAGAATTTTAGGAGGTTATATATCTCAATTTTTTTGGCAGGCCGGAGCTAAGAATCCTTTTGTTCGGATATTTATTATCGATACCACTTACCCTGCGTATGTAGGTCCCCAGGAAGTGCCTGTTCCAGCAATGATAGCCTCAAGGTAATTCATCTCAGATCCCTCCCATCTTTCTATCCTACATTCTAGTGAGTTTATGCTGTGCATGCTAGAAGCAAAAACAAATAAGTAAATAAGAGTTGCACACAAAGCTAAAGACATACAAAATTAAAGGTGACAAATAAGTTTCCTTAATTGGTTTTTCAAAATTAGCCCTTTTACACATATAAATGTGACCTCAGTGATCAATCTAAGTGAAACCTTCCTCAGATGTACAGATGTGAACTTGGGACAAGCAAGCAGATAGTAAAATTATGCATGCCCTTACCCTGGCTTCTTTCAAGTTTGGCTGACTTTATCTCAAGCCAGGATTTGGGGATCTATGTGGATCACATGTGTACGGTAAATAAGAGAAGATAAGCTGACCCTCTCCAAAAATTAGCATTTTTCGCTATGAAGCAGGCTATTCTCATTTATCTGGTTTTAGAGTTGTCTAGAGATGAACTGTAGGCAGGCAGAGACGTGAAGAGTTCTCACTTCCCTAGCATGATGCCCTATGTCTCATTGTCTGATTAGTCCAGATTACAGCAAACTTCAGTTAGTCCTCTGTGGTCTTTCTGGTTGAAGTGGCTAAGGGGAAGAGGTGCCCAGGCCCTGCCTGTTGGGCTTTCTTAACACTTCCCAATGCCTAGCGGGCCAAGCTTGGGTCTTCTCCTTCTGCCTCATGAAGAATAGCCAAGATCAAGTGACTGATCATTAATAGGGTTTAAAAGAACCCCATGAGAGGCTTCCACTGGGCCTTGCTGAGTCCACTCATGTATAATCAAACGTGACTTTACATTTTTGAATTATCTGCTCTTCCCCACCCTGATCGAGTGGATAAAAACTTAACTCAATACATCATTTTTTTTAAAGTGTCATTCTCCATAGGTGGCAAATGAGCAAAATACAAGGATTCCAGAGGCTTGTTTGAACAGCTATAAAATACTAACAATAAAATAGTAGTAGCAAACATATTCTGAACACTCATCATGTAGCAGACGTAGTTCTTAAGTGGTTTAAGCCCTGTCAGCTAATCTTTACAGCAATCTTTAAAACAGGTAATATTATTATTCTGATGTTATAAAAAAACAGAATAGTTAAGTAACTGGCCTAAAGGTATATAACTATTAGGACACAAAACCCAGATTTGAGCCTGAGGCCCCTTGCAGCTCTGTGATTTCCTTTACATCAATTTTCCAGAAGTTTGTGATTCATTTTATGTTGATGTTCTCTACCGACTAGTTCATCCTCAGAGTCATGGAATCATTGCTGCCATTCACTGACATCTAGTATGTGCCAAACACTATTTGAGTTGTTTCGCATACATCATCTGTGATTTATTCCACAAGCCTGAATTTCAATACCTGACCATAGTCACAGCTAAAACAGCTTCCAACATGAATCCGCCAGGAGACAAAGATTATCCTTTTATCACACTTGTCTCTCTCTCAACTAATTATAAGGTGAAAAATTGAGTTTACTTGTGCAAAATGCCAGTTTAATGCTTTTTTCCCCCTCTAGATTGATCAGTGGCTTTGGCATTATGTTTTAAATTCTTTTCTAAGATGTTAAAATCCAGAAACGGGGAGAAAACTCACATATGAAATGATTTCATTAGATGAAGAAACTCTCATAGAAATTTTTTAAGTAGAGCTATTTAAACTTTCTCTCCAGAGAAAGGAATGTTTTTTCTTCCTTAGCTGTTAAATAAGTATTGTATCTTAATGACATATATTCTTCAGAAAACAAAAATTAAGAAATTATTGTTTGTGTGAAACTGGTTTATGGTTGTGACTACCTGTTTCTATTTTATTTGCAGTGATTATTATTTCAGTTGGCTCACGTGGGTTACTGATGAACGAGTATGTTTGCAGTGGCTAAAAAGAGTCCAGAATGTTTCGGTCTTGTCTATATGTGATTTCAGGGAAGACTGGCAGACATGGGATTGTCCAAAGGTACGGTATATTAAGATCACAGATACATATTTCTGAAGATCAAGGCACAATAGTGGGGATTCATCTACAGCTAACATTTTATGTTGTAAAGCCAGGATTACTGCATTCAACTACCAACTGCTTTGCAAAAAAGCACTCAGTATTCACGGGTCCATCATTTTATTAAGTAAATAGGTTGCCTTTTATTTTCTTGAATGACTTAAACCTTGAAATTGAATAGCCAAAAATTAAAAATGGGACAACATGACATTGGGAAAATCAGATATCTGGTTCTCAATTATGATGGTAAACCAGCCTTTTGACATTATAACATTGGCAGTCCAATAAACAGCAAAATAATGCAGATGAAACCATAACATGGGTCTACTAGGTAAATATATATGTTTTAAACAAAAGAACCAGAGAAGAAATGCAAATGGGGCATGCATGTTCTATTCAATATTAAAAATGAAAAATTATAAAGGAAATGGATATTATCAAAGGAAATCCAGATATTCTGATTTCTTTTCTTTTTTTTTTTTTTTTTTTTTGAGATGGAGTCTCACTCTGTCGCCAGGCTGGAGTGTAGTGGGCGATCCGGCCTCACTGCAACCTCCGTCTTCCAGGTTCAAGTGATTCTCCTGCCTCAGCCTCCTGAGTAGCTGGGACTACAAGTATGCACCACTACGCCCAGCTAATTTTTTAATTTTTAGTAGACATGGGGCTTCACCATGTTAGCCAGGATGGTCTCGATCTCTTGACCTCATGATCCGTCCACCTCAGCCTCCCAAAGTACTGGGATTACAGGTGTGGGCCACCACACCCCACCCAAATATTTTGATTTTAAAATCAAATGAGAATTATTGAGAATGTGACATAAGATATTAGACCAAATTATTCTGTTATCAGGTTATCTTAGGACAGTACCCGATATCTACTAATTTTGGGCAAGAAAAGCCTTGAAAACTAAGCACAGATTTATTGTTGAGTTTTAATTGTTTCTATTGCTCAAATTCAAACATAATCTGTTGAATTAATGAGTCAGAAAAACTGCTTAACCAATGTATAAACTTTAAAATAAGCCTGTTCTTAATTACTCACATTAGAGTCTAAGAGATACAAAATGTTTTCTTTAAATAGGATATTTGATGGGTACATTTCATGAGGCTTCTAATTATGAAGAAATGTTTCATTAAAACAAATATAGAATAATCATATTTTATAAAGTAAAAAGAAAAGCACAGAACAATCAAAGTAAATCACTAAATTTCATCTAGAAATTAGGACATTATGTTTTGCAAGAAAAAAGTCATATGAGTCTGTTTGGAAATATATCAGGACTATAATAGTCAACATTACTCAGGCTAAAAATATTTTTTTAAATCACTACTGTGTCTGTGAGAGGCTTGACTAATTTTGATGGAATATGCTAGAAGCGTATTTTTATCTTATATATATTTTGATATACAAAGCAGGAAGATTTTGGCTTTAATGCAGTATCATAGGCAAAGAAAGGATAGACTAATCTTGATTATGCTAGTTAATTAGAAACAATTGGTCTGATTAGTCAGCTTTGGGTGACTATATCTTTAAACTTTTCAATGAATCTAGGTATTAGGGACTATTGCTTTAATTTTATTAGTTTGAACATGATGAGATTTATAATTTAGACACAATTTTTAGCTTCTAAAACTAGGAATTTTAAAACTGTGATTGCTTTGAAATCTGAAATTCTAATTTATCAAAATCTGAGACAACTTTAATCCAAACTGACAGAACATTTAAGATGCTCATTCAATGAGGTGTGGAAGTCCCTGGAATATAAACTTTAGTTTTACAGCCAGAAAACAGTGCTTAAATTTAGAATATCATGTTTGAATAACCTTAGAATTTCTAAACACCTCTGTTTCAAAATAGTTTGATAAATACATGCAACACATTTTGAGATTTGAGAACAACAGTGTTGAATTTCCCAGAAACCATCCTCATGACTGATGTGTGTGTATGTGTGTGTCTGTGTGTGTGTGTGCACGCACTATGAAAACAATATTTAAGGTTAAGTGACCCAGCAACATTTTATTCATGCTGAGAGTCACGCCCAAAACAAAGAGGCAAAGAAAACTGATAACAATGACTTGTAATAAATTCTAATAGTGAGATTTATTAAGAAGTTTGTAGTTAGGGGAAGAAACATCTTTTGTATTATGCTTCCTCCTCTGAAAAGGGAATTAAAATTAATTTTACTTTTATGGCTAAAAATAATAAATCCAAAAAGTTTCACTATTTTTTCCAAGTCTTATCTTACTTGTTCTCTCTGAGGCATTGGCCTATCCCTATAAGAGAAAATCCAGACTGTGTTCTTAAAATTTGTTATTCCCCTGCCTTTTATGACAGTACACCCTCTCATGGTTCTCCTTCTGCTTCATTGACTGTTCTTTTCCTTTCCAGCTCTTCTTCTGACTTCTCTAGAAATCTTATTATTCTCCAAGTTAATGTATTTGCAAGGTAGGCTAACTGCTGTAACAACAACAATAAAAACCTCCAATCATTCAGTTGGTTAATACAGTAGAAATTTATTGCACATTCATGTAACCATCCAATAGTGAGTCCAGGTAAGTGGGGTATGGTGGGGGTTGGGGAATGGTGTACTCTGCTCCATATAGTCATTCAGGAACCCAGGTGATGGCATTTCTGCTAACTGGCTTCCAACACTATTCCAAAGTTGGTCAGACCTGAGCATCAACATCCAGTTGAGGGATGGAGAAAAGAATGAAGGATAATGTAAGAGAGGCTTTTATGGGCTAGGCCCAAAAGCAACCCATTTCTGTTCACACACCATTGACTAGAACTTACCAAATAACCACAGTCAACTGAAGGAAGGCTGAGAAATACATTTCCTACCCGTATCCCTAGCAAAAAGAGGAAATGGTCTGCTGATTATCCTGCTGTCTGTCTCAACTCTGTACTTACTCACTTTGGGTAATTTTAATCTATACCAGAGTTTTTTGGTATACTTGCCAATAACTCTCAGACTTATTTCTGAGGATTTGAACTTTTCAATATGCATGGCTTCATTTTCTCTGTTCCATTCTCAATGCCTTGAGCTTGATTAGAGTCTTTATCATTCCTTTCCCAAACATTACAATAGCCTTCCAGTTGGTCTCTCTACATCCTTCCCTCTTACCCACTTTTAGTTTATCCTCTGCATCATGTTCATAATTTTATTTTCCAAATTGTGAATTGGAAGACCTTCAAAAGATTTACCAAACAGGAGAAATTGAAACTTTTTAGGGTGCCATAAAGTTTCTCCAAGATCTTGCTCATAAACATGCATTCTCCTTCATCTTCTAACTCTTTCCTGTAGTCACTCTCCACTCAGCCATACTGAACCATCTGTTGGGTGACTAAGCTGGTCTGGTCTCTATGCTATTTATTTTACCTAGAATGTTCTTCTTTTTCTAATTATTTGTCTAGAAAAGTCTAGTCATTCTTTTAGGATTACTAAATGTTTGTTCAGTAAATAATCAATTACATTATGTTAAAATATAACCCAAAATAAGATTCAGTGCAAATTTTAAAATTTTAGCTACTTCATGGGACCCAGAAAAGAAAGAATTTAACCTAAACTCCACTGTTTTACCTACACCACATCAAGTGGATTGTGCTGGGCCTCCATAGATGTTGTGATAATTCCAAGTCACTGCCTCATGGAAGCTTTAGGCATAATTATTAAGAATCTGCAATAAAATTACCCATGTATATACAACAGTGCTGTTATATGAGAGTTTTAATATTGTCCTTTTAAACTCAAATAAGTTACTTGACTAGTAATGGTACACTCTGATCAGGCAGCTTAACTGTTTCCAAATGTCCAGATTATATTTAGGAAAAAAATGTTCTCCTAATACTGTGTTCGATGTGATCTTTTGTCTTTTAGACCCAGGAGCATATAGAAGAAAGCAGAACTGGATGGGCTGGTGGAGTATGATTTTGCTATCTTTTTCTTATGTAAATTTCAAATGAAATTTGACAGATTCTCAGCTATCAAAGGACTATTTGCAATGTACCCAAACTGGCACTACTTATTTTCATAGAAAAAATAGCAAGGTATAAAACATATAGGTAGTGATCTCTTGAGTGATTTTGTGCCAGACAATTTCAATGTCCATCTTTTTAGAATTCTATTGAAAATAACTCATACTCCTCATGTTCCAATTTTAAGTTTGTCAAGTGAATCCTTGATATCTAGAACTAATATTACTTTTTAAACAAATACAATATAGATCATTTTTCAAAAGTAAACAAAATCCCTGATCTGTTAAAATAATCTTAATAATTACTAGCCATCTGAATCTAAAAAAATAAATACATTGGGTATCCTTGTAATTTAAAGACAATCTACCTCTTATTAAACTTCATATAACATGTACTAAATTTCATATATGTATACTCCTTCCAGTATTTAATGATTTGGTAACAAACAGGAAAACGTGTGTTTTGTTTTTTGTGATCATTTATATTTGGAAGTTTAGGATAGATTTATTCAATAATTGATTAGGATTTTTAAGGTAAAAATGATGCTTGAGGTAAATACCAATTGTATTTTATATCATATATGAAGAATAAAAATTAAGACAAGAGAATAAGTGAAGGTTAGTAGATACTGCCACTTACCACAAACACGAAATTCAATTCAATTAGTATTTGAAGACGAAAGGCTACTTCTCTAAGATCTGGACGCATTATACAATGAAAAAGGAAACTCTTAAGACCTGGTTTAACACATTAGCTCATGATCCAAGGACAAAAAAAAAGTCAGAAATCAATTATAAGAGGATAAATTATATAAAAATTTAAACTTAAATTGGCTGGGAAAAAGATAAATTGTAAAGTGATAATCTTCAAATATTAAAAACTCTTAATTGTACACTTTTCTGGATCCAGTTGATTTTGGCTTACATGCTCTTTAATTTATACTCTGTGTTTAATTAAAGATACTGCAGTTTTATTCATTAACTAGTGAATAGTTACTTTATTTATTACATACAGTAAATATAAATTACATTCTGTGGTAAAAAGATAATAAAGATAAGTATGTAATTCACAAAAAAAACCACTCCTATTTGAACTCACTTTTTCTACTGTGCTAAATATCACAGGAAAAAAGAGTAGTATTCAGTGAAAGAAAAGTATTCTCTAAATTTTATAGATTCTTAATCAATCTGAATCTCTGACTCTCACCTTTCAGAAAGGTAATTCTTAGATCGGTATTTGAAATTTTGAGGAAAAAAAGTTAATCTACCAATCCACTCCCATTACAAATATTTCTAGTAAAGAATGAAGAGAAGAAATAATGCTTGAAAATATTCTTTAGTCATGTTCTCCAAGATGATAATATAACTAGATTTACTATACAGTTATATGAATAATGTAATTTTACAATTATATCAACAATGATACCAACAACCCTTTCAAAGACATTATCTTGAGCATCTATACACATTTATTTTGAAAATGCTGCAGTGTTCAAAACACTCTGAAACACTTTAGAATGCATCTTTTGAAAGCTCATATTTATAAGCATCTTCAGCATCTTAATTTAAAAATCTGTATTGCACTAACCTTGCATTCTCATCAAATTGAGCTGAATGAATGAATGAATTGCCTGCAAAGTTTTAAAACTTTTTTTTCTCCCCCGCGACGGAGTCTCACTCTGTCGCCAGGCTGGAGTGCAGGGGCGTGATCTCCGCTCACTGCAAGCTCCGCCTCCCGGGTTCAAGCGATTCTCCTGCCTCAGCCTCCCGAGTAGCCGGGATTGCAGGCGCCCGCCACCACCCCAGCTAATTTTTGTATTTTTAGTAGAGACGAGGTTTCACCGTGTTAGCCAGGATGGTTTCAATCTCTTGACCTCGTGATCCGCCCGCCTCGGCCTTCCAAAGTGTTGGGATTACAGGCATAAGCCACCGCCCCCAGCCCAGCTGTAGAACTTTTTAAAAAAATACCCTCAGTGTCAGGAGATCGAGACCATCCTGGCTAACACGGTGAAACCCGGTCTCTACTAAAAATACGAAAGAAATAGTCGGGCATGGTGGCGGGCGCCTGTAGTCCCACTACTCTGGAGGCTGAGGCAGGAGAATGGCGTGAACCCGGGAGGCGGAGCTTGCAGTGAGCCCAGATCGCGCCACTGCACTCCAACCTGGGCGACAGAGCGAGACTCCATCTCAAAATCAAACAAACAAACAAACAAACAAAATACCCTCAGTGGAGGCACATATGCCTCCTTTGAGAGAAGATGAGGTCCTTACACTAAATCAAAAGTCATTCCCAACTAAATGGCAGGAGCCACCGTGCCCAGTCCAGCTGAAGAACTTTTAAAAAAAAATACCCTCAGTGCGGGCGCATACCTCTCCTTTGGGAGAAGATGAGGTCCTCGTATTAAATCAAAAGTCATTCCCAACTAAATCTAGAGAGTAAATGAGTTACTTATCTGGGACTTGTGATTTTTGTGCCAGATCATTTTAATATTCATAGTTTTATAATTCTATTGGGAGCAACTTATTTTTATATACTAATCTCAATCTCTTCACATGTATTCAGTAGTCAGTAAAACTTCTAAATTCCAGAAGACAAATTATCAAAAATTATTTGCAATGATTGTTTTCAAGAGTAAGTTTACACTCTCCCAAGACACCTGCTTTAAATGGATTATTAATTAGCTTTTGTAAGTTCTGACATGCCTTTTGAAAAAGTCTGGCCACAATTTTGTATAGCCATAACTCATATGTAATAATATATTGTATATTTAATAGCTTCCTTTGACCTATAATGATACTAGTGGCTTAATAAAATTAACCAGAAAAAAACTAGAAATGTGTATGTATTTCAGACATTCGTTCAAGTAACATTTATAGGGTCTTTAGATAAAGTATACATGCTAGTCATATTAGTATAAATTTTAAAAGCTATTTTTGATATGTGGTTTCTTTTGAACTTGTCAGAGATATTTAAAATGGAAAAAGACTCTCAGAAATCACCTAATGAATTAGAAAAGGGAGATTAAATGTCTAGTTAAAAGTAACTGGTCTGTTAGTTGCAGGCACAGAACTAGCAAATAGGTTTGCTGAGAACTTTACTTACCACTTTTTCCCTCCAGCACTGGCACATCCAGTCTCTTAATTTAGGATTAAAAACCTAACTTCTTTTTTGGTATTTAATCAGGAAAAATAACAACAAACTTGCTTTTGAAACATTTTTTGTTTTGTTTTGTTTTGTTTTGTTACTCTGTAGAGAACAGACAGAAAAGTGAAGAGTTAATCAAAGGAACCTAGTGCTTAGTTCCTTAAATTTGGAGAACAAGCACTGAAGGCATTATGCTTAGACTGCAAAGTCACACCAATTATTTTAAAATAATTTAAGCAACACACTACACCTTCTTTAGGCAGCTGGCAAAATCCCTTGGTTCAAAAAAAAATGAATTTTCTTCTTGATGCTTGAAAGCTTGTGCTTTTGATTGAATGTGCACTCAGTTTAGGGCATCCGCTTTAGGTCATTTAACAGCTATGGCAAGATATTACATGGCAGTAAATAATCTCACTTTCCAGGTAAAATATTTTAAATGGCTTTGCACTTCATATAGAGATGAGTAATCTATCAAAAAATCTAAGCATGATAAAGAAACCAGTGTAAGGGCCTCATTAAAACTGAGGACAACTTAATGTGGGTGCTTATCTAGGGTCCAGGTATGACTTGCAAGAAGCACTTAACTCGGAACACTTTATGGGCCTAGCTCTAGCAAAATGAATGTGGACATATTTCACACTCTCTTTACCTCACCCAAGTTACCTGTTCATCTAAAGCAGCTGTCTTCAATGTGTGCAATGAAAGGGGAGAAGATAACAGTCCTTGCTTATCAGAAATATTCTTCCTGTTTGCCTGATTCTAATATCTTAAAACATAATGCTCTGCTCTGTTTTTTTTTTTTATTTTCAATAAAAATGAGATGTTAAGTTTTAATCTAGAACAAAGCTCCTTCAAAAGTCCTTTACTAACTGACTGCAGGCTTGCAGACAATTTTTCTTTTTACTGTGGTACCTTAAAAAATGTTGTGACTCAGGTTTCATTTTAGTAATTAAGGCAATGTAGAACCAAATTTTGTGTTTCACAACGAGGAATAAGAAGGAGACATAGGCTGGGTGCAGTGGCTCACACCTGTAATCCCAGCACTTTGGGAGGCCAAGGTGGGTGGATCACCTGAGGTCAGCCTGACCAACTATAAATTAGCTGCGCATGGTGGTGCATGCCTGTAATCCTAGCTACTTGGGAGGCTGAGGCAGGAGAATCACTTGCACCCGCGAGATGGAGATTGTGATGAGCCAAGACCATGCTCTTTGCACTCCAGCCTGGGCAACAAGAATGAAACTCCATTAAAAAAAACAGAGGAGACATTGAAAGAGGTTACTAGTATGTATATTATCATTTAGATAAGAGGGTGAAATTTCATTCTGAAATGAAAGAAGGATTTTGTCAAACACTTATAGTAATAAAATTCTACCCACAAAATTGCTAATCAGAGTTTTCTATTCCTGGGCCTCTTGGTTATAAATTTCACTTGGAAGCATTAGTCTCAATATGCAAAAGCCTACCAAGGTTGGTCTTATTATTAATGAAACTAACGCAGGAATCATGTAAGGAGGCAGCTGTTTCTCATTATTGCATTTTTTCATTTTAAAGAAAAACTTTAGACAAGTTAAAAGTAGTAGAGTTTATTTGAACACAAACAATTCCTAAATCAGGCAGCACTCAGAACCAGAAGAGGTTCTGAGAGTTCTGTCCAGCAATGTGAGCTGCCACCTTTTATAGGCCAAACACAGAAGCAAGGTAGATAAATCACTGGTTGGCTACACTAGGAATCAGCCTTATTGGGTCATAGAGCGATGAGGCATCTACCTTATTTGGATGTGGTGTGATATGATGGCTGCCTATGATTGGCTGAAACCCTTTTGCTGGACTTGTAGTTAGGTTTTGGATTGTATACGTACTAAGGTTGTGTTTCATTATATAGGAACTCAAATTATAGAGACAGCCTCAGGTTAATGGCCTTTTGCTTATTTGATTTAACTGATTTATTGATTCTAGGTAAATGTGGTAAGACTTAGGGTACTGTATTTGTTTCCTAGGGCTGCTATAAGTTATGGCAAACTTTGTGGCTTAAAACAACAGAAATTTATTCTCTCGTCATTCTGAAAGCGGGAAGTCAGAAATCATGGTGTCAGCAGAGCCATGCTCCCTAGGAAGGCTCAAGAGAAGAATCCTCCCTGTCTCTTCTGGCTTCTCATGGCTCCTAGAAATCCCTGGGCATTCTTTGGTTCACAGCCGTATCACTTTAATCCCTGCTTCTGTCTTCACATAGCCTTCTTCCCTGTATCTCTCAGTGTCTCTTTGTGTCTTCCCCTCCTATGAGGACACCAGTCGTTAGAGTTAGGGCCCACTTTAATCCAGTATGAGCACATCTTCAATTTCTACGTTGATCACATCTGCAAAGACCCCATTTCCAAAATGGTGACATTCTGTGGCTCCACGTGGACATGAATTTTGGGGGAACTTAGTCCATTACAGACATCATATCAAATAAGTTGTATTTTAATGTCACATGATTATAATTATTTCATGAGAAATAATGACCAGTTGTATCAAAAAGGCATCAAATATGGGATCATCATTAAAGGAGCCTACAGTGACTTCGCCCGCTCTCTTCTTGCTCCACAATGGGTCTCACGTTAAGTCTCACCAGGATAGGTATTTTAGCTAAAAGATACTGGTAGCTTTTTGTTGCTGTTGCTTGATACAGTTCTTATGTGGAGGGATACCAACTAGAGAGAGCTGGCTTTAAATCTGCTCTGCATGATGTAGAGTAGCTCATTCCTCATGTAATTCTTTTAATGATTTGCCATCATTTCACCAAACAATGACCAATGGAGAAAGAAAAGTCAGCAAATGTAAGACAAGCCAATTAATTTTTTAATGGGAAATGTATGAAACTACTTTCAAAAATTTAGTGTAAGAACATTTGCAGAATTTCAGTTATCTCTATCATTTAGAATGTTGAAGTGTGACTTGTTCTGTTTCAAGGCACACTAAAGAGCCTAGCGTGCCTGAGGTAGTTAAGTGGTTCCCAGCAAGGTCTGCGTGGGGTTACCGGTTAGAGGTTAAACTAGGGCATTGAGGACAGTCTGCAGTCTGCTTCTTGTGCTCAAGGAGTAAACCTCTCCCAACGTAGGCAACCTTTTTCTCTCAAGTCCAGAAGCCCCTCCTCACCATTAAAAACTGTGGCTGGCAAGTCATGATCTTTTCATCTTCAAAATGTCTTCACTGAATGATTGGTATTAGGTGCTTGGCATCAGACAAATCAAGAATTAAAAGAGGTATAAGTCTTAACGAGCATCAGACTGTGGTCAAATACCTCATTTGAAGTTTGGTTTGGTTAAATATCAACATTCGTTTGTGATTCTTCCAACTCCGTTTCAAACCACATAACCTTCGACTTAGAAATTTAATCAAATTAAGCATCATGAATCCAGGGGTATGCAGTAGCAGCCAAGCAGTGGTTGGGATGTTCAAGTGCCTGTTAGAATCACTACATAAGCTGTTTATCTGAAAGAATGAGATTCCAGACGTGAATGACAGAAGACAGAGAAGGCAAGACATTCTGATTCCTCTAACTATGACCATACATCGCTTTTATATATTAAAACAAAATCTATGGTTTTAGTTTGGTTTGTCTTTTGAACATAACCTCTGTTAATTTTTTTCAGTTCTTTGTTTCAACACCAGTTTTCAGCTATGATGCCATTTCATACTACAAAATATTTAGTGACAAGGATGGCTACAAACATATTCACTATATCAAAGACACTGTGGTACGTTCCTTCCAAGATTTATCTCCTCAAAGATCATTCACTTGAGGTTGCTCAAATAACGCTCGGTTTCACACAACATAATGTTTGTCTTTTTATAGGAAAATGCTATTCAAATTACAAGTGGCAAGTGGGAGGCCATAAATATATTCAGAGTAACACAGGATTCACTGTAAGTATTGCACGAAGCGCGATGCACCATTCAGGTTTTAATTGGCACCGATGGACGTAAATGATACTGTACCAACTCTCTTAGTTAAGAAGATTTTTGTTACTCTATAATTCAGACAGTTGTGAGTTCATTTACAATTGTACATTTTAAATAACTAGTCAAAATGATTTTCTTTTGGAAAAAAGTCTTCAGTAGGTGATAATTTCTCTTCTGATATTTGGTAGGTAATTATATAAAAAGTATACAAATTTTAAGATAATAACTGGTTCTAAAGGCAAATTTTACCCTTCAGCACTTGAAGCAATGAGCAAGTTTCAAAATTCCCTGGAGGGCAGCCCATAGATATGGAGCATCTTTTGTAGTGATTCATTGTTATATAAGTTGAACATTATTATTTATAACAGCTATCATTTATGGAGCAATTACTGTGTACCAGATACTGTAAAGTAGAAATGGTTATCCTAAGTTTGCAGATGAGAAAAGGGATACTCATAAAATTTAATTAACTTGGCCAAAGGCCACAGTTAGTTAGTAGCAGACTAAGATTCAATCCTAAAGCATTAAATCTAAGGCTGTTATTGTTAACCTGAACATAGGACTGCTTTCTTACAGTTCTTTCCTCTTCAGTCCATTCTGCATACTATTTAAATAAACCATCTTCAAATAATCATTTATGATAAAACTGCTCTAATCACAAAAGTATACTTTCTTTCTTTAATTTCTAATACAATCTGCATCTAGGGACCCTCTCTTAGTGCTGAAAATCTGCCCGCTATTAGCTGAAATTCTAGGAGCAAAAAGGTGAGGACCATTAGTCCAGGCTCATGGAATAAAAGCCTGTCAGAAATCTATTATCAATCTTTGGAATTCTCTGAAAGGAGGGTAAAGGTGTTTGGACTTTCTTTGGAGCAGCCATTAAAATCACTAGAGTAAAGGGAAGGGACATGCTCAAAACTGGTGGGAGATTCATTTCAGACATGATGTGTTGAGGAGGTGGGGAAAAACTGAAGGCGGAGAGACCCAGCTCTGGTCATAAGAGACTTGGACTAGAATAGTGGCAATGCAGTAGATGCACTGAGGACAAAACTGCACCTCCTTCTTTGTTTGCGTCCTTAGCACTTAGCACAGCGCCTGACACAGAGGAGTTCAACACACATTATCTAAATGGAAGAGAGAGCAGAATAGACAGTAAAGACAGATGGAGGCTAAACAGGACTGGCGAAGGGAGACTGTCTGGGAAAAGAGAGAGAAAAGAGACAAACTGGACCCAGCTGCAAGGGTTAGAGATGGAGACAATCAGGGAAGCTTCCACATAACAAGGAAGCGTCAGGGGGCTGCTGGGGAAAGATCCTGAGTCCTGTATTCACAGATTGTTTGAGATTATGTGGGGAGGGCAAGGGAAAGGGATGATGGGAGTCACGCAAAGTTACTAAAGATGCATAGAAAGGTGTTAGTTTGGTAGATAAATTTGGTACTATAAACAAGTTGTATTCCATTGCTTTTTTCTTCTACTTGTGCTAATAAGATTTTCAAGATACCTAGGACAGAGTGAGAACTGGACTGCCTAATTGTCCTGAGAATTCAATCAAACTTCAGTTATCCCAAACTTTTCACACTCGTGGGGGGAGAATAATGACAGTTTCTGATACTCAGATGAACATACAGCAGAGTGAAAACCACATCACGAAACTGAATTTCCCACTTCATGGCTATTTTAAGACAGGTTAGAATCAGAACCTGGATACTTAAGTAACACGCATGTTCTCTTCTGACTTGTTTTACATTTGGCTAAATTTACATGCCCTGTGTGTGGTATCCAGTGTGATATCCTCAATTTGTAGCAAACCTATCTATTGACAGGGTTTCTATAAAATAAATTCAAGGTATGTTCAGAATCACAGATAAAATTAAATAACATAGTACAGAGAAACAGGTAAACTGTTCTTAATTATGGAAAAGGCAAAGTATGATATTAATACAATTTCCTAGTTAATTTGCATGGCTCATAATGAATCAGAATATAATATACCTGTAATAAAAACAGTATTCAGCATAATTGAATCTTCCTCTGATGATTTGGAAGTCAGAATAAACACACAAAGTTCAGGTTATTAACAGCAGTTATTTGTGTACCTAAGCACCAATTAATAAATAGTTTCATTAGATGAATGCTTACCTATATTGATACTATATTAGTATTAATACTAACAATTCTATTATCACTTATTTATCAATACTTAATAATTTCTAAATATATTTTCAGATTTTATTCTAGCAATGAATTTGAAGATTACCCTGGAAGAAGAAACATCTACAGGTAATTTATGTCCATTCATTCTGTTATTTCTGTATATTGACATTTTAATATAAAAAATCATCATCTCCAGGAGATGGAAAATATTTTTAAATTGTGGCACGTAATAAAAATTATTTATGAGTTGAGAGAAAACATTTGGAGAATGTTGTATACTACATCAGTATAAAAAACACACACTCTCAAAATGTTAGCCAATTCAAAGTATTTGTTTTCAAAAGGAAAAAACAAGAAATTCTAATGCTCATATAAATACTAAATACTATTTTGGTACTAAACACTTTAACTACATATAGTTAAATTGAGGACATTTCTTTATTTAACACACATTTGCTGAATACCCAGTATGAACCAGGCATTGTTTTTATTCTGATAATATGTGATTTCCTTCACTCTGGCTCACTTTGGCACCACTCATCCCTGTCCCTATGTTAGAGCTTAAATTCAGTCCAGTTGTCCCCTTGATGACTGAAATGGTGCCCTCGACAGCCCTTTCTGGATGTGGAAAGGAAAGCAATAGTTACTACATGCCAGTAGTCTATTATATGCCAGGCACCTTTTAATCTGACTTACATATGTAATTTCATTTAATTCCTACAGCACTATGAGGCAGGTAATGTTGTTGGAGCCAGGATTTGTACCTGGGCATGCTGATCTCTGAGCCCTTGCTGTTAACTGCCTGCCTAATGTTTCCAAGGTCACACCCAAATAGGGACATATGCTAACATATTAACCCTAACAGAGGAAATAAGAAATTTGCCCTCTGTCATATTTCTCTGTTCCCTCCTGGATCGTGATCTTACTTTATGCGTGAAGAAGAATCACTCTCTGGGTCCAGCAATGTCTCTGGCCTGGCCACTCTCTGCCATGCCCAAGGCAAAGTCAGGGACAGCAGCAGAAGAAACTCAGAGGTGGCACAGGAGACCCTGACAGCCACCATGGGGTCCTGACCTGTCCAGACCCTGGCATGACATCATCTAAACTCCTCCACATGGAATTCTGATTCTGAGGGTGTAGGATAAGGTCCCTGAGTTTGTGTATTGAAACCAATCACTCTGTTCAGCAACCACACAGATGACTCTGCAGAGTGAGTGTGGGGGCAATGTGGGCAGGACAGATTGGCTTGTGTAGACTGTGTGGAGGGGGCATTCCTAGCCTGAGTTTCCACGAGCCCAAATTTCCTGCTGAAAGGAATGAAGGCACAGGAGGCACTTAGAATTGTCATTTCTTATTTCTAATTTGCCTATTATTAATTTACCCTTCCTGATATATGGTAAGAACAGGGACTCTTTCTTGGTAATACTGCCAGATTTTCCTTCTATGTTTTGCCATGGGGTGGAAACAGAGAGATAGGAAGATGAAGAACTATGCATTCCCAAGCACTTTGTAAAGTGTAAAAGATGAATGGTTATGGGAAATGACTACCTCACTGCCATTTGAGGTGTTAGATATTTCTCCCACTCCAGGGAAACCACATAGGGCTTCTTCCTCAAGGTTTGTGCCTATTAAGGCAAAGATGGATCAAAAATCAAGCTACATCAAAATACTGTGATTCCCCTTTACTTTAAATGATATTGGCAACAGAAAAATAGAGTGGGTTTGATGTCAATATGTAAATTAGTCACTTTACATGGAGTAGTACATTTTGATAAATACAATCTCAAAATTTCAGCTTAGTTTTATTTTCATTTCCCTCTAGAATTAGCATTGGAAGCTATCCTCCAAGCAAGAAGTGTGTTACTTGCCATCTAAGGAAAGAAAGGTGCCAATATTACACAGCAAGTTTCAGCGACTACGCCAAGTACTATGCACTTGTCTGCTATGGTAGGTAACGGACCTCACAGAAGCACACCATCCCCACGGGCATTGTTGTCATCCTCCTCACCTCTATCTGATCAATTCTTAGCTACAGTTAATGAGCACTTGTTATATGTAAGAATCTTATCTTGTGTTTATAGAAAAAGAAATGAAAGGAGGATAGGAGGGTATTATTATCTTCACTTTTTTGCAGCTGAGGAAACAGAGCTCGGGGAAACAGAGTAACTTGCCAAAGGTCCACACTGCGGCTAAGCATCAGCCAGGATTGAAGCAAGGGTCTGTTGCCTCTAAGTCCCATGCTCTCAACCACCGCATTCCACAGCACTAAGATTGCATGCAGAGGCAACCTATCAGCTAGGCTTCGCAGGATTTGAGCAATAGCAATAAAAGAAATGTTCTCTGATGAAATGGTTGCTGGACTCTCGGCCCCCTTCTCCCAGAGAAATATCAAACTCTCACAGCCAGGGGAATGGACAAAGGTTTAGAAACCTGAGATCCCCACCTCGGAGGTCAATCATTCCTCAAACTGTAATTTCAATGGGGATAGAAAATGAACCTTTGTCACTCAAGATGTCCTTTCTAAATTTGGAAAACATCGTGAGTAATACATTCAAATGTAACAAGCCATAAGTAAGAAAATCTACGAAACATTTCCTGATTGTTTAGGACATACGTACATTTAATGCATAATTTCTACCCATACAATTTTATTTTATGCACAACCTTTTATCTATATCTTGAGCATGTGGTAAACAATAAAACAGGTTAGGTTAAGAGGCCAATATAGATCAATGAAATATATTGGTGTCTAAGTCATTATGGAAATTTGGAAAACTGACTTGGGAATCTCTAATTCTCCAATCTCTGTCACCTCCCCCAGCTTATTCCTAATTTGGAGCTGGGAGTTAGAGTACTTGGAAAAAGGTATTACAAAATGTATACTACCCTCCTATTTTAGTATCAGCTCCCCTGGTGGGGGTATGTGGCTTAAAGAACAAATGGAATCTTTGGCTGCTTGATATCCCAGTTCAGTTGCAGAGGCCCTGAAGATCCCATAAAGGGAACCAGAGTGAAGGCTACCCTAACATGCCACTTCCCTCAGTCCAGCCACCTGGCCCCTGAACCTGAGCTGCAGCTCATTTGACTATGTGGACATGAATAAGCATTTTAACCCAAATGCTCCCTTCAAGATAGCACGAAGATGTCAGTTTGAAATAACACTTTCATAAAATGTTTGGTCAGTGGCATCTTTGAAATGTCAAGAGATTGTTGTTCATGACCATATGTGCTGATTGTGGTTACTGACATTTAAAGGTATGCATTAAACGTCCCTCTCAAGTTCTATGCAACATTTTTCAACCTAAGCTATGTATTTATGCAACATAGATTGAAAGCTTACATGCCAGGCACATAGTATCATTGAGCTAACCATACTGAGTCATCTGTTTATCTATCTTTTTCTTCTGGAAGGCAGGGGCTACTTTCTTTTAATCTTTGTATTTCTAAGACCAAGAAGAATGTCTAATACATAACAGACATTCAATGCTTGTGGAATTAACATAGATATGAGGTAATATTGCCGTCCCTTGCAAAGTCTACAAAAAAACTGGTTTTATACTGATGTATTTGCTGATGAATGCATCAGTGACACTACATTTACATCCATGCATTTATATGTGTATGCATTCTGCATTTGTATAATGCTTTAATGTTTTTGGAAGGCACTATCTCACATTTTATATTAGTTTGTCTTCCTAATATATACTTGAGCCTGTGTGCCCACTGAAGAGATGAAGAATAAAAGCCTAAGCTCTCATCAAAAGTTGGTGGAAGAGTCCTTTCTAGAACTTGAATCGCCTGACTTTTCCACCACTCACTCTTCCTCGGCAGTATGGTAATTTCCCATTTAGCAAAAAATATACTGTGTGGGAAGCATCACATCGTCTGGTGTTTTTGAAGCTCCAGTAAAATGAGTCACTGCGCCATCATAGGAAAAACCTTGAAATCTTTCCCTTCGGGACTAAGAGTAAAGCCTCATTATGTAACTTCAAACTCTCCCGAGGGATGGTTAGTAAGTCCCAGATGATAGGATCAAAACAGGTAAAATCATATCGATGATGCTGATGGAACAAAAGCATGCAAGGTAGGCTTCTCAAGAATTGATGTTTAGGCCACTAGGATCACACCTTCCGTCCAGTGTCAAATGCAGTCAGTCATTTATTTATCTCATTTTTTAGGCAAAAAAAAAAAAAAAAAAGATGTGCAAGTTTCCGTTATTGAAACTACACACCCACGAAAATTCCACAGGGTAGATGCTGGTTGATTAGACTCTAGAAATTTATATTCATGTCTCATTTCTTTGCACTCTGGCTGAAAATATAATATGTGTGTTTGTCCTTTTTCATAACTTTGATGAAAAACTGGCCAAAATGAAAATCTCTGCAATAACATTCTATAAAATTCTGAGATTCCACACAGGAACTTTTGGGTCTTGAGGGAGCCTAATAAATACTATCCTTTTTCCTCATTTCCAAATTAGACTAGGATTCAAGCAGGAAACCGAAATATTATCTTTATTACTTGTAAAGGCTAGTTGGAAAATGTGGTAAAGCTGTGTGGTTTCCCAATATTGCATCCCAGAATTATATTTACACAAATACGGGTATGACAGGGCAGCCACCATCTTCCTCCATGGGGCTTGGCACTGGCACAGGTACAGCACCGAGGAACAGATCAAAAGCATGTTCTCTGCAGGCAGAAAGATGCCAGAAGCAAGACAGAAGGAGCTACTCATACCCAAGTCTTCTCAGAACTCTACAAAAAATTCATTTCTCCTCTGCTTTGCATGGGCCAAGCATGCTACTCTAATGGGTTCCCTCCACATAGAAGGTAGCATCCTCACCCTATCTTGTGGGGGGCAAATGAACATGTACCTCCAACCTCCACATTTGTTGCTTTTAACCTACTGACGGAGCAAATTTGTGCTTAAAAGATTTATTTCCAGACATTATTTGATCCTGTATTTCAAGTAAGGAATAATTCGTTTTTAATTATTTGTATATCTTGCTAAAAATGTCCAGTTTCTGCATAGAGAAGCTGAATGCATGTTGGAATATGTAGTGGACACTGGTGTGCCAGCCAGACCCCTTCATCCCCATCTTCAGGACTGACTCAGTCATTTCTTCAGCTATGAGAGTGCTAGTGGCTGACAGCTTACAGCTGAACAGCCCCCTAACCCTAACTCCCCCCAACACACTGGAGTTTTCTCTTCTCCCAGGCCACATCCAATGACTGCTCCATGCTAGGGGGTAAAGGCCGGCCTTGTTGCCACATTGGAGACGATTCTACAAGCCATCTAGGAGTCTCTATGTGACAGCAGTGACATCTACCTTCCTCCCCTGCCCCATTCTTCCTCCTCTTCCCCCACAAGTGTGCATCCCAATACCACCCCCACAAACTTCCTTCCAGGACTGCTTCCCAGGGACCTGCCACAGCATATTTTAAAAGGAAGTGTATCTCATATAGATTTCTGCATGTATTACCGCATGGAAGAAATACTAGATTTTACCCATCTCAATAAGCTGAACATTGAACCAAGAAACCAGATTGAAAATACAATCTGGGTACTGGTGAAGGTTGTTTGATAATAAAGACACAGCCAAAACTGGCCCAATACAGCATGACATCTTCCCAGAAGGCCATTTGTCACTGCAGCTTCTGGGGTGCATTTGTGTAATTAGATATTAACGATTCAGGATTAGTCTTGGAAAAGTGCACAGGCGAGGCCTCTCTCACAGCTGTTCCTTGAGTGGGCTTTGATCTCATGTATTGTTTAAATGTAACTTAAAAGTGATGTTTTCTTCTCTGTGGGGAAAAAAATAGCTGCAGAATTAAAAGATGTACTGGCACTTGACACTAATCACAAATACTACCAGCAGCCCGTCTTGAAAACAGTGTTATTTTAACACTAAGCCATGATTTTGTTTTCATCCTGCACACAGGCCCAGGCATCCCCATTTCCACCCTTCATGACGGACGCACTGATCAAGGTACTCTCTCTTGCATGCTATTTATCTTGTCTCAAGTAATCCTGAACTCTCTGCGATGCTCCGCAAGAGAAAGCAGGACAGTTTCTCCACACCACCAAAGGAACTGCGGTGGAATCCTGTTATCACACCACTTATTATTGCACAGATTTGGATATTATTTGGGTCAAACAAGATCCTATGAAATTTAATAATTCTTTGCAGTGAGAACCTGGCATAGCACAGATGAGTTATATCAGAGGGTTTAATTCTATCTTCTCCAATCAGCCTTATAAAAAGCACAGATTAGAATTGGGAAAAAACTTAGCACATTCAGTACGATCTTCCTTCCAAAATAGAATTTCTAGTTTTTTTTTTTTTTTTTTTTTTTTGCTCAGGGGGTTGGGGGTAGGGGGTTGTTTGTGTGCGTGTGTGTGTGTGTGTGTGTGTGGTAACATCCCAAACCGGAAATGAATTCTACGTGTAACTTCTTCAGTTCAGAGCAGAGGGTGACTGTCACGCCAGCTTTTTTTGTTTTAACAGCTACATCACATTGTTGCCACGTATGAACGCCCTGAAATTTGGAGGCTCTTTCCATTTTCAACTGCTATCAAGACAGTCCTCCTCTATCCTGTATTTGTGATATTGGTTCAAAATAGTTCACATCTCAAAGACGACTGGTTTTGCTCTCAACAGAATTGTCCGAGTGTCTAATTGCTCTGATACTCTCCTGCTGGCTCTCCATTATCTTTTGATTTACTATTAAACAACATTATAGGGTTGGAGTTGTTGGAGGCCAGGGACAATGAGGCAGATGCCACTTTCTTCAGCACTCATGCCTGCGATTGCTCCTGGACAGCTTTGGTGACAAGTCAGGAGACTGCCTTGGGATTAGTTTGGCTGTCAGCTCAATGGCTCAAGTATAGGTGAAAATAATGAGAAAAAAAACCAGAATCAATTTGGGAACTCTGGACAGGACAGGCATTGTGATAATGGGACTGTGAATTTAGTTTCATTTTAAGATTTTTTTTAAACCTTGTGTCTAATAAGGAAATACTTGTAAGAATAACGATTATGTTTCTTAATTTGACCATCTCAGTCAGTGAAATGGATTTCAAGTCGACAACGTTTTGTTTTAATAGAAATCACCATCAGTGTATAATTCCCATTTTATCAAGACTCAAAATAATAGCCAGCCTTTCTTTTTCCATAGCATGGATTTCTACTTTCTTGAGATCCTTCTTAGATTCCTGGCAGATCTCTGTACTGATTTTGAAGTTCCTTTATTTCACTCACTATTTACAAAATAGGTACATCCTCAGATATGTCAGATGTAATTAAATAAGTGCTAACTGAAAAAATAGAATTCAAATTCTTTCAGAGCACAGTTCCACAACTTACCTAATGTGAAATTATTCTCCTATGTTCATTATAAATACAGATTCCTAGGCCTTCCCCAAAGATTTTAATATGGTATATCTTAAGTTATGCTTGGAAGTTTGTATTTTTGATAGTAAATGTTCAACTGCTGTTTTGGAGCAGATGCTGTGTCTCTTGTTTACATCGCATTTGGTGTCAGCAATCTCATTTAAAAATATGTATGGAACTTCTACCACATTAAGCCAGGCACTGTGCTAGGTCCTGGATCTATCTATAAAATAAAGAGATACTGGGTTAGATGATGTCCTTGTCCTCAAGGAGGTTATAGATGAGTAGGGAATATGAACATGGAAATGAGCAGTTACAATACAGTGGGGTAAGTTCTAAGATAGGGGAACTACAGAAAGCCTGGAAGCCCACAGGAAGAGCAGCTCATCTGAGTTTGGGGGATTAGGAAATGTTTACTAATGATAACTACCACAAGCCCAAGACTCATGAATATGAAGTAGGTGTTGATGCTGTTTGGATGATTGGCTTGATAATGGTTTTTTACTGAGATAGAGGATTCACTGTGGAGATCAGGTTTTGGGAGGATGATGAATTTTGTTTTAAATGTTGAGCTTGAGGCACTGATGGGATGTCTAAGTGGAGCTGCTCTGTAATGACATCATTTTGGATCTGGATGTCAGAAGATCAGTTTGGACTGAAGATACTGATGAAACTCATTAGTTTATGGAGCATGTGGTAACTAAGGCCTTGGAAGTGGATGGCATGAGCAGAGTGACAATACAAAAGTGGATAGGGTTAGCGGGGAGTGAGCCTACAACAAAACTGTGTGGAACATCAACACTTGAGAAATGGAAGGAGAAAAATGAGCCTGGAGAGGAGACCAAGAAGGAACAGAAGGAGGGGAATAAACTTGAGAGTATGGTATTGTGGAAAGCAGGGGAAGAGAAGAACTCAAGGAGGAGGAAATAATCATCCGTGCCAGATGCTGCAGAGAGTGAAGGAAGACTTGCTCTAAATTAATGGACTTAGCAAGAGGGAGATTGACATTAGCTTGGTCAGAGCCATTTCAGTGGAGCAGTGGAGGTGGAAGCCAGATTAAAGCAAAATTAGGTCTGCATAAGTAAGTTAAAAAAAAAAAAAAAAAAGCAGTATTTCCAGTTGGCCTGAGTGTGATGAGAAGAGGAGATCGGTGGGATGATGGCTGTAAAAAGTTGATGTAGGTTTAATTTTGGTTTTGAAAGAGGATAAACATTTGATTATGAGTGAATGTTGATAGAGGAAATCAGGAGAAAAAATGAAATGAAAACATAGAGGAGGGAGGTCCCTAAGAAGTTGACAAAGGATGAAGATCAGAGACAGATAAGAGGATTAATCTCTTGTGATGTGATGGGAGAGAATAAAGAAATCATTGGTATAATTGTATGAAAGTTAGAACACAGTGAAATGGCTTCCTTTTCCCTGCAAAGAGGGGGAGGGTTATTTGAACATAGCGGGCAGTACTTGAACCAGATTCTGTGGGAATCCAGAAGAGCTGGAATTGACAGGGAGGGCCCAGTTAAAGCTTAGTTGCTTTCGGCACAGAAAATGCTCATTAAAATTAACTAATTCATGACAGGCCCTTATTAATCAGCCTTTCCATGGATTCTTCCCATAATTAAATTAATGAGCAATGTGGGATTTTAAAGTGATTCAAACAGAAATCAAGTATAAGGTCCATCGCTGTTATAACTCAATTTCATCACAATGAAGAGCCTACAAATACATGTGGAGCAGATGCTACATGCTAGATACTAGGTGCTGTGTGTGCTTGGTACTGAGTATACAGTGATGGATGAAAGAAAGTAAAAGGTATAGTCTGACCTGTACTCCCCTTGCTAGGTTATAGGTTTTTAATGCACAGCCTTACTGAGAAGCCCACCTGCCAACTCTCACTCTCCCCACTGCCCCCTGTGAGATTCTGTTTGTGCTCCAAGAGGTGGAAAAATTGCCCCCTCACTATCCATAAAAATGCAACTCTGAACCCTAAAAGCGTTTAGATTAAATTTGGCATTTCATTAAGCCATGTATCAGAAAAGTTCAGGAGCTAAGAACAGAACAGAGAAAGAGTCAAAGGCATAAGCACGTGACAACACCCGGATACTGTCTCCCACTTCCAGTGCTTGTGGTAAAATAATACAAATAGTAATCAGTCAATCCATCAGCCACTCTGTGCGCTTGATCCACACAGGAGTCTATTTATCCATGGCAGCTCCACACATAGAATCCACGCAAGAATGAAGGGTTGGCTCTACTGTACTTAGAATTGTGTATTCATTTTACTTTTTTGGTTTTAACTTTTAAGGTGTCACAAGTATCTCTTCCCTGATGGATTACCCAAAGTTAATGTGAAATTCATTATGTATCTTATACAAATCATACCCAAAACATCTATACTTGTGCTAAGATTAAATATAACATGTTGGAGCAAAATGCCATGAGTATATGAAAACTGAGAGTTACAAGAGAAGTGGTTTGGCAAACCTAGTATAGTTACAAGCACTCCTCCAGCTCTCTCTCTTCAGAGACCACTCTTTCAAAAAGGCATAAAAACAAGAAGTCCATGGACATCTTTTGTAGCAATAAATATACCTCACAAGTCATCCAGCCCCTCTTTTAAAATATAAAGCTAAAACTCCACATACTATTTGAAAGACTAACTTTTCCCTAGAAAATGCTGATGTCAATCCCAAGTTCAAAATAAAGTCTATAAAAAGCCCTCTATTGCTAGAAACCTATTTGCATGTATTACCAATCTACAGATTCAAGAGATCAATGGATTTCTTCCTTTTCAAATATTAAAGTGTGAAATATAACTGAGCTGAAGTATAAATAGCAGGTTTTAGATTTTTTAAAGCTTTAAGACAGAGAAAGAGCATAGTGTGTGTGTGTATACACAATATATATTGTTGTCTTACTCAGATATATCACTACCTTGAGAGAAAGGATCTGAAAGAATAGCATACACAATAATTCAATTTCCAGAAAAAGGAGAATGTCCTATATTAATCAAATACAACAGGAAAGTGTTAGAAAGAAAGATTTTAAAAATCACAGAAATAATATTCAACTTTACACATTAAAAATTAAAAAACAAATTTTGAAATTACACAATTAATTATTTTAAATTTGAGGCCCCAGTAATCCAGATTGTATTTCCACTACATTTTTTTTAGTATATGATAAAATAAATATCACCTGCTTAGGTCATGGCTTTAAACTTAAAAACAAAACAGTTTTAGATGGGAAAACGTAATTGAATAAACATCGTTGCTCCTGTGATCTTGCTCAAAATGTGTTTTGATGCTGTTAGAATTAAAGACACAGTGATTAAAATGTGATGTCCTTCGTAAAGGCTGATTATGGTCTAAAGGCTGATTATAAATACATTTGTCAATATGAAACGTCACTTCTTAAGCAAGCTTTTCACAGTTTCAGTTTCACCCATATTGAAGTCAAAGGAATTTTAAGGGAAAAAATTGTTTATGAAAATACTATTGATTAAAAATGAACATTTAACTTTTTTTCAGAAATTAAAATCCTGGAAGAAAACAAGGAATTGGAAAATGCTTTGAAAAATATCCAGCTGCCTAAAGAGGAAATTAAGAAACTTGAAGTAGATGAAATTAGTAAGATCTTTTAAAAACTTCTCGTTTATGGATATGAAGCTGAGCAATTTTCTTGCTTTTAAAAAAGCATAGGGTGAACGTTACAGTGCAAATTCTGTGATCTATTAATATTACAGGATTTCATTTAAAATAATGTTATGGTAACAATTTTTAGTTTTACTAAATATCTTTAATATGTTTGTAAACATGGTTGATCTTATGCATTTTCAATAGCTTCCTTTCCACATTGACATTTTTCAAAAAGAGCTTATCTAATTTTAATTTTAAAATGTGTCCTTCTAGAACAAATAGTAATTCAAGATTTCTAGTCATTTATACATTTAACACAAAAATTTAATAAAAGTTACTTTCAATATATCCTCAATTCTTAACAATTTAGTAGTTGAAAATTGATTTTATGGCATATATTGCTATTAAAGATAATAAATGATGCTATGAGTACTGTGGAATGAAGATTTTTCTCCTTTTTTTTTTCCTCAAAGCTTTATGGTACAAGATGATTCTTCCTCCTCAATTTGACAGATCAAAGAAGTATCCCTTGCTAATTCAAGTGTATGTAATATTTTCTTTGGTGTAAAAACTATTTACTGAAAATATGTTAGATGAAATACACATTTATGAAATAGAATGAACCATTCTCCTTGGTAACAGTTCCTATTGATGCTGTTTTTATATATTCTTCAACTAATCAGAGTAAATAAAATATGGCTATTTAAAATAGATTGAGGAAGTTTTGAGATTTTAGCTGGACTTGCTTGCATTGGCTGTGTTAAATTTCCTTTGTATGGCAATTTGCCGAATGTGTCAGAATACCTTTGAGATAGAGAAATTGCAGCCAAAAAAATATTGTAAATCATCTTCACATCTTATGTAATTGAGTTAGAAATGAAATAAAGGAATAGAATACATTTAGTGGAATCACACCCAAAATCAGTGCTGACCTACACACAATTTGCTTAAAACACCATGCATTTTTTTTAGTATATCTTATGTCTGCTTTTAGCAAGTGGCAGGTGGCAGAAATGACGAAAAACCCACACATATTCCTTGAAATGCCAACCCTAGATGTATCCGTTTTGGGGAATAGGAGAGGCTGTGTCCCAAAACAACTTCCTTGTAGCAAACCTCTGGGAAAAGCCTGGACTCCTCTTGATTTTGAGCCAGTTCTAACGCCATTGTTATTTTATCACATAATTGTACTGGAATTACTAGAAGCAATGCTTGGTCAGGATGGGAAATAGAGTTTTACAAAGAAATCAAAGATTCTTTTTTTTTTTTCCTTTAGGTATGGTGGTCCCTGCAGTCAGAGTGTAAGGTCTGTATTTGCTGTTAATTGGATATCTTATCTTGCAAGTAAGGAAGGGATGGTCATTGCCTTGGTGGATGGTCGAGGAACAGCTTTCCAAGGTGACAAACTCCTGTATGCAGTGTATCGAAAGCTGGGTGTTTATGAAGTTGAAGACCAGATTACAGCTGTCAGGTGAGCACCTTCTCATTCAAGCAGATGTCAACATGCAACAAAAGTCATGCAATCACTATTGTATTTCTCCATTCTTCATGACTTAATTCTTTTTTTTTTTTTCTTTTTCTAACAGTCTAAAATTATTACTAATCTTACAGGGGTATTTTTGCCAAATGTGAAAAAAAAAAGTATTCATGGAAGAGCGCTGATAAATGTGTAGAAAAATGATTTCAAGCGCTAAATCACAAATACCCTCTTTTGAAGTGTTGTCATTCATTCTAATATCTTTTAATTTAGTTCCATTTCTTACAATTGATAGAAAAACTTTGAACTCTAATGATGATCTTCAGGGAAACAAATATCTGAATTTGCTCAAGCATTGTGGATTCTACCTCATAAGTTTAGAAATAGCTCAAGATTTTATCAGCACTACATGCTTTTAGATGTCAGGCATTCATTTGGGGTTAAACTTGCTATCAGTCAGCCATTGTAGCATGAAAGTGTTTGCCTATTTTCATTTGACAAAAACAAAGTCATTTTACACAACAGAAATTATATTATGAAAACATTTAGGGTAAAGACAGATTCATAATCTGATTTCTTCTTCTCAACTACATATACTTTCAACCATGATTTATGGTTCAATCATCTTTTCCTGAAACAGGACTACATAGGCACCAAAATTGTGGCTTTTTTAGAAACACTGTGCAAATAATTCTTGCAATGTCTCTATAGTTGTTGAATTTCTGTTATTATGTTATGAGTAGGTGAAGCTAGAGAATAATAGTTCGTAAATCTAAAAGGTAGCAGGCTACTTGCACTCTCAGTCATGAATATATACGCATGTGCGGATCTAAAGGTCAAACACTGTTTCACAGGCAAAGAGCAATTTAGAAATTTCTTTAGTACACTGTTTATCTCCTTAATGTCCTTAATACTTAATGATTTCACTGCAACATGCAGAACAAAGATTGTATTTAACAGTCAGGAGCCAGGCCTAGACAACACTTTTTTGTAATTTTGTCTCTAATCAAAGCAGAAGAGTTTAGACTCACAAGTAATTATTTTTAAAAATAGAAAGGTGTCCATAACCCATACATTTTCAAGTGCTTCTTTCATTCTGGGAACACACAAAATGCTCAATAAAAAACAAAGTCTATCTGAATACGATATAACAAATTAGTAAGTAGGTTACTAACACTAAAATCTGTAGCTATCACTCAATTTCTGGAAGCTCCTTCTTTCTTACGGATTCAGACTTTGGCCTTTCAACTATTCACTTGTTTGGAGGAGATAGTTCAAAGAAAAACCCCACTGAGGTATCAGTTTCTCATATAAAGACTGTAGTGTGCCTTAATGAGAATATTAACACCATCCTCAGAATTATAGCCTAATTCCATGAGGGACTTATTTTTAGCACCATGGCTTACATCTATTTGCATTTAAACCATGCAATAAACATCAAGGACATGTAATCCTGGTACTACATGAAAACAGAGATGAAAATATGCCTCATCTATAATTTATTTAGATCTTTTCCAAAGCTAAAAGAGCTAAAAAGTGGTTTATTTTGGCATTGGTTAAAAAATCATTGTCTTCTTCATCATTATCATCACAACCCATCAGTAACAACAAAATATGTCATTATACTTTTATGCATTTATTTACCACCACAAATGCACCATTTGAACCTAAGAAGAAATAACTTCTTAATATTTTCCTTGGATGAAATGAAATTTTAAGCCTGAGCCATGATGTTCAACACAAAGGACACAAAGCCATAAATTCTACCTTCTCTGATTTTCGCGTAATACCAATTTGTCTTTGGCATTTAGAATTGAAGACGGACTAGAGGTGGTAATTGGATACCTTTACTTTCTCTGAGCCATTTTTAGGATGGAATCTGAAGAAAGTCTTCCTGCTGTAGGGAAAACATGTTCACCCATATACTCAGCCATTTAACAACATATCAAATATTAATGTTAATACATGCCATTGCAGTACATTCTGTATAAAATTGTGCAATTTGCAATCTCTGTTTTCAATGTGCTTACAATCTGGTAAAAGTAAATAAGCCACCTACACTCTGAAGGGACAACATTGTTGTTAGATCAAACTTTTAGTAAACACCCCAGAGAATATGGGCAGCTGCGTGGACCCATGCAAAGCCTATAAACAACAGTGGAGATGACAGCCAGAGCTGGCCTTGGTTTTTGGTTGAAATCATTCTTATGCAACTGTGAAAAGGAAGCCTTATAATCCAATGCTTTGAGAAAACAAAAGCTAAACAGGATTGATTTAGAATAATAATCCTGGGGATGATTCAATATACCTCCTAGGGAAGTGTTTCAGGAATCAGACACCAAATGCCTGACCTGGGGAATTGAGATTACAATCCTTCTACTGTAGCCCTTAAATTGTCTCTCAGAGAATAAAATTTGTCCCCTGAATCTTTTATAAAATGCAGTCTGGCTAAGCTTTTGACATACCAAAAGAAAATCGTACGTACATATTTGGAAACAACAGTAAATACTACTCAAGGCCAGCAAATAGATTTAAGCAAAGCAAAGTAGGGGAAAAAAAGAAGTCATATCATCTTATAACTTCTGTCTATATGAAAGAAAATGCTTCAGAAGAGATGCTTGTGAAGCTACAGACATAAGGGAGACTGGAACCTGCTTTCTTTAGGTTTCTCTTCAAATAGTACATATGTGAGACCCTTAAAACTTTGGTGGTTATAAGGGCAACTTTGCTCATTTGGAGTATATTTGGCGTTTTTGATATTCCCACAACTTTAAAATTTGATATAGCTTGAGGGTTAGTGGTGGGGAAGAATTACATGAGATGAAATTTTCTATCATGCTTTTATAGATGGTATAAATAAGAATATTTCTAAAATAGGATAATAATTGATCACTAGGATTCCAAGTTTACCTTGGCCTTGGGCCATCTTTATGAGAGAAAAGTTATAAAGTTCATCCAGCCTCCAAAATTAGAAAAACATCCTTTTCATTTGTTACTGACATTTTGTTGATATAACCACATTATCAACAGTATTTACAACCCTCTGGGAAACTCTTCATAATTTGAAGGTGAATTTTATAGTGCCTCATTGGTCTGGAAGTGCTGAGATTATCTAGCTAACCTTTAACCTAGTCCTGCCACATTCAGTGTTAATGTTTCATTTCCATGTTAACTATTGCACTACCCTTTCCTGTAAATGTCATCCTTTCAGAATAAACCTAGGAAGAGAGCTGTTAAGAGTTTCCTGTTCCCATGTATCACCTGTTATTTGCTTTTTACCCCAGATGTAAGGCGGTATGATTGCTAGCTTCTGGGAGATCATAAAATCACAATTGACTTTATTTCTCAGAACAGTCTTCAAGCCCTAGTAGCAAGATTTTTTTTTTTTTAACGAGAAAGTGAACGTTCTCTTCTTTCATTTGGTTTTTGAAGTTTGTGCAAGAATTGCTCAAGTGTCACAATTTGCTGCACATTTTCTCTTCTATACCATGAGCAGCATCCACACAGGTAGCAACTTTCCATTTGCTACTGCACTTCTTCTCTGTAGACTCCTCAGTGTCCTTCAGAATCAGTGTCGGGTAAGCTGTGACTAACGGGGCCTCTTCCCATCTGTTTGTCCCGGGCATTTGCCCAACTCCTCTGTGCATCGGAAACGTGCATGTTGAATCAATGCAAGAGCGAAATGGTTGCTGTGAAATCCCTTTAAGAAACTACATTATTCAAGTAATGAAAATCACTCAGTTCTACTTCCAGAGAAGAACTGATGAGGAAGGTCATTAACAGTAATTGAATGGAACAAGAAGATAGTATTTTTCTGGGACTGTATGTCTCCCTTTGGTCTTCTCCCCTCCTTCCTGTTACTGTTGCATACAGTGTTTACTGCAATGGCTGATCCAGTTTGCTACATTCCACTCCGGCTTCTGTTTCTCTGAGATTTTCTTGAGTTTTTATGAAATCAATCCGCAGATAAATCACAATTGCTCTAGAACACTAGCCCTCAGGGGAGCATGTTAGAAATTAGCTTGAAACCCTCAATTTTGAGGGTTTCCCATGACTTTTTAAAGGTTGTCCTTCAGTGTAGCCCCTTGCTCCTAAGGAAAGAGTTATTATCAAAATAGTTTTCAAATGAATGTTCTTCTGGGATGGAGCTAAAAAGGAATTATTTCCATATTCTAAAAGACACATGTAACGACCCCATGCAAGATGAATTGAGGATGCCTAAATATGAAATGGAAGAGAGTTGTGTATTTCTCTCAAATGTCACTCAAAATGAAGTGGTGATTATCAGTAGCAACTCAACAAACAATATGATAAGAAATTAATATAATTTAAAACAGCAAGAACAAAATCCTTCTTTCCGGTGGCTGGGGATTTGGAAATTTGGTCCTGCTCAATGGTACTGCTACTTCTTGTGTCACTATGACCCCGTATCTTGGCCTCTCTGAGTCTCAGGTATGCCCCCACGATTAGAATACAAGGCCTTATCGCTCTGAGATTACCACTCAATAACTGTATGATAGAGTGTAAGAGAATCCTTTTATCTCTTAGCAGAAAACATGATAATATTATTTTAATTATTTGTAAATGCAGCCTTATTATGCATGTGTTTAAACAAAGAAAATGTAGCGTTTCTATTAAATCTTTGGATTAAATATGCTTGTGTAATGAAGTAAATGTCATGTGTACACACTTAACATTCTAAAAATTTGTTTCTTTTACTTTAGAAAATTCATAGAAATGGGTTTCATTGATGAAAAAAGAATAGCCATATGGGGCTGGGTGAGTTGTTTTATATTTTTTTATGCCTGTTATTCAGTTCAGCAATCATCATTTTCTAAAGTGTTCGTTTAGAAGGTTTCTCATGAAATGTTAATGTTGCAACATAATTTAATCTGTCAATGGAAACAGTCAGTTTGGATAATCTGGGCTTCAAAATGGTGGTTTTAAGTGTTTGTTCCTTTTTTTCAATCTTTTCTTCCCTGTACAGTAAGTTAACTCATAATTAACATATTTTTACTTAAAAAGTCTTTGTTACTGGATTATAGCATACTGAACTGAACCATATCCATCAGAGGGTGAATTTCCTTCGTTATTTTAAAGTTAAATATATATCTTTTATTTTATATTTCTATTTTATAAAATAGAAATATAAAATATTTTTATATTTTATAAATTTTATAAAAATCGGAGCTACAATTTGAAATCACAGGGACTTTCAGAATATAAATTCCTTAGTACCTAGCCTAGCAGTCATATCTTAGCTGTTTAATTTTGTTTCTTTTTATTTGGCAATCAAATTATTTTACTAGACCGAATGCTCATTTGTACTAACTGGAGAAAAGTACTATTTAGTTTCTTAATTATAGGTCATGAAGATAACTTCTCACATGTGAGGAGCTGTGCATATTTTGAAAATACACATTTCAAGGAAGTGGCAAAACTTATCATTTATGGGCAATGAAGTCACTGGAAAGTTTAGAGAAATATTGGAAAGAGTTTAAATTTGCCCATTATAAATTATGATAATTATCCTTCAAAGAAGATTTCCTGTTTCACTTTTTGGTCTGAATTTGTACATTTGCAAGTCAATTTGCAGCCATTTGTGCCTGGGTTGTTTTTCTTGGCTGTTTTCTCTGAGAGCGGCCTGCACGAGAAGAAGGGAATGAAACCCAATATTGAAGGGAATCTGCAGGATTCAGCTCCACTCAGCTCAGTGACCAGATGAAGAGCTGTTAGGAATTTGAAGAAAGTTGTTACTTCAAGCCATTTGGTCCTTCTTAAAACTATCAAATGTTAAATATCTAAACAGAATGAAATTCAAATGAGTAGAAATAAATGAAATATTTCTATAGTGAAATATTCCAGATAATACCTTCCCTATCATCCATTTTTATAAACGGTTTCCTAAAGCAAATCCTTGAAAGATTTTAATTTTAAGTTGAACATGTACATATAATCATTAACATTTCTCTTAGAGTTGGACTTTGCTTTTGCTGCAGGCTTTGAAATAACCATAAAGTAGAACTTTTTATTTTATTTATAGAACATTCTAGGTATTAGTTTGGTAGAAAACCATCTACGTGGGATGATTTTCTAAAAACCCACTCATCACCCAAAAATATATCCCTATCAGCCTGAAATTCTTCAATAATAGATTCTCACTGCATCTAGTTGGGCAAATGCCACTGAAATAGTACATTAAAACCCCCACCCCTCAATTGCTTACTTTCCAACATGGTGATGACTGTGAGGTCGACTCTGAGAGCAAGTCTGAGCAAAGAAAGTAAGAAATGGGCTGCCACGTGATATAACATCTGAGCAGAAGGAACTAGTGTGTGGATAAAGACATTAATACTATACTGGGTTTTAAAATCAGCTGTTCAGGTTTAAGACATGTTTATTAATCCATCTGTCTAATCACTGACTTGTTCATTCTTTCATCTACATAGTACATTTTTTACAAGGTCTTGTACTAGGTTCCTTAAGGGATGAAAAGATGAGTAAGTCATAGTCCTGGCCCTCTTGTGGGGGAAACAGACAACAAAATAAGCAATGGCTCAGCAATGTTCCAAGTGTTAAGAGAGATGCAACTTGCTGTGGAGTACAGGGGGACAAGAGTGGATAATTATGGCTGTGGGAGCTAAGGGAGGATTCCAAAATAAGTTAGCATTTGAGATTGGTGAAGATAGCTGAGGAACGGAGCATTCCAGGCAGAGTGAAAACCACATTGCCCAGGACCTGAGTTAAAGAGCATGGTGCACACGGGGAGACTGAGCTGGCCAGGGATGCCTGAAACTTCGAAAGTCTAAAGTATCTTGAGGAAATTACAGGAAATGAGTCTGAATAAGTAAGTATACAGACAATACACAGTCTCTTAGGCCACCTAAAGGAGAGGGGGCTTTGTGCATGCCTGTGACACCTTTCTCTTCGTTCTTCTGTGCCTCTATGATTGTTATACCTTTTTTTTTTTTTTCCTTTTTTCGTTTTTGAGACGGAATTGCTCTCTGTTGTCCAGGCTGGAGTGCAGTGGTGCGATCTCGGCTCACTGCAACCTCTGCCTCCCAGGTTCAAGCGATTCTCCTGCCTCAGCCTCCCGAGTAGCTGGGATTACAGGCACATGCCACCACACCCGGCTAATACTCCTTTTTTCGTTTTTGAGACAAGGTTTTGTCATGTTGCCCAGGCTGGTCTTAAATCCCTAGACTCAAGCAATTCACCCACCTTGGCCTCCCAAAATGCTTTGATTATAGGCATGAGCTATGGCACCAGCCTCCATTTATTATTTAAATATTGGTGTTTTTCTGGGTCTGGATCTCACCTTGACCCTCATTAGTCTTCCTTTCCTTCTGCAAACGCTTGTGGTGTCAAAGATGATGATGACTTCCAGATCCCTGGCACCAGCACACACCTCTCTTCTGTGCTCCGTGTTTCAAATGCCTGCTGATTATCTCTCCCACATGTCTCATATGGGCCTCAACTTACGCCTAAGGTAAACTTGTTAAGGCCTATTTTAAAACAAGTCTTAATCTTCATTAAGGCTTCTCCACACACTTATTCACCCAAATTAGAAACCTGAGAGCTGTTTTCAACCTCCCCCTGTTCCTGACTTCAACATTCCATTGATTAGTAAGTTCTGTCAATTCTACCTTTAAACATCAAAGTCTGTTCTCATCATCCCTACTGACACTGCCTTAGTTTGAGTTTCTTCATTTGTAATTTAAGCCAGAAATTCTCAAACGTTAGCTTGCACAAACATCACCTGGAGAGCTTGTTAAGATACTAGAGATTCTGAGTCTGTGCTTCTGGGGCGGGGTCCGAGAGTCTGCGTTTCCAGCAAGACCCCAGGTGATGCTGATGTTTGGGTCCATGGAGCACAGGTTGCATGCTTCAATTTAACTATTCTAATTACTTCTTACCTGTCCTCCTGCTTTGGCCTCACAAGCTCCAATGTGGTTAATGAAGTTATCATTCCAAAATAATTTTTACTGTGTGGCTTTTCTGCTTATGTATTTTATAGGACTCTGCATTGCCTGCAACACAAAGCCCAGATACCTTTCATGGCATGCAAGGCCTTTGGCAATCTGACTCCAGCTTATCTTCCAATCTCATCTCTTGCTGCTTTTCCCTGTACCTTAAGTAATTTAAATTATGGCTGGGAGCGGTGGCTCATGCCTGTAATCCCAGTACTTTGTGAGGCCGAGGCAGGCGGATCACGAGATCAGGAGTTCGAGACCAGCCTGACAAACATGGTGAAACCCCGTCTCTACTAAAAATACAAAAATTAGTCAGTTGTGGTAGCATGCACCTGTAATCCCAGCTACTCAGGAGGCTGAGGCAGGAGAATTACTTGAACCCAGGAGGCAGAGGTTGCAGTGAGCCGAGATCGTACCATTGCACTCCAGCCTGGGCAACAGAGCACGACTCTATTTCAAAAAAAAAAAGAAAAATTATATCCGTGTTTCCTCGTTCCCACGTTTTGTACATGCTGTTTCTCGCATCTGTAGTGTCCATTCTTGTCTTCCATTCCCCACCTTTTCCTCACTCCCAAATGGATAACTCACACTTGCTCTTTAAGATTCAACTCAGATATTATTTTCTTTGTGTTCCAGAAGCTCTTTGTATTTCTCTTACAGGAATTACTATGTTGTATCTTGTCTGTCTGTTCGTTTCTCCCATAAGAATGTAAGTTCATCAAAGGAATGGACTGTGTCTCATTTTTGCTTTGTTTCTGAGCGCAGAGTTAGAATTGTGCTTGTTTAGCACAATGCCTGGCCACATCAAGCATCTATGATGTTGTTTAAACTGACTTTAATCCTATAAATCAATGTCTCCCCTCGAATGTGTCCCACTAGTACCAGGAGATTTTTCAGGAAAATGTTCTATAGTCTAATACTTTGGCAAATCATGAATTCTATGTAACAGTGTATATAGGCTCTAGAAAAACTAGTAAAAAATACTGTCAAGTTTTGTTTAACACAGTATTACCAAAAAGTATTTGATTCCATAATTCCTTATTCCTCCACCATCCCAGAACACATATTGACAATGTTTTCTACGGACATCAACTTTTTAAGTGCTCTTGAAGTCAATAGGGCGAGGTATTGGTGCCTTAGAAAGATAATCTTGGCTGCAAAGTGGAGGATAATCTGAGATGTGGGAAGAGGATGGGCCAAGGGGCTAGAAGAGCAGTAATACCAGGGACAGGTATTAAAGGCCTAAATTAGTCAGTGAAGTAGCAGTTGGAAGAGGTCATATCTCTGTGTTCTCTTATACAATATAATAAGCAGGGACCTATGGCAAATTGGAGATGGAAAGGAGAAAACTACCGTAAGGGTTACTTAGCTCTTATTGCGTTTATTAGGGAAGAATATATGTGTTTCCATGAAGTATTAGACAGTATAGTGGTTTGGGAAATACGTCATACCCAACAATATTTTTTGAAGTCGATTGGTCAATAAGCTCCAAATCCCACATTACTCTCCATTATCGAGTTCAAGAAATGGGGAAGAAACCTTTTTATCTTTCCCTTTCATTTTCTGGCTCACATAAAACAAAGCCCACTAGCCCTGGTTTTAGCTCCTTGATAAATATTCACTATGTGCCCACCACAGTGCCTAAGAAGTATCAGTTTATGACAGTGGTTGTTAACCAGGACGATTTTGCTCCTTGGGACATTTGACAACGTCTGGAGGCATTTTTAATTGTCACGCTGGGGGAGTGCTACTGGCATCTAGTGGGTAGAGGCCAGGGATGCTGTTAAACATCCCACAATACACAGGACAGCCCCCTATAACAAAGAATTATCCATCCCAAACTGTCAATAGTGTCAGAGTTGCAAAACCCTGATATGCAGTGAAAACTCAACACAATTATTCTGACAATTGAAGAGCAGCGAGGGTTTTGCCTAAATTATTAGAATAACAGCCTCATTTCTGGGCTTCGCTTTGTTAATATAGGCCTAGCCAGGTGGTGTTGAATAAGCATTAGTTCATGATTTAATCTTAGTTCCTTTCTCTCCCAGTGACTAATTATAAGTAATTTGAATTGCTATGTGTGATCAACGATGTAAAAGTAGGACAAATGCACCTCTAATGAGACTATAGTAGACTCTGAACTTACAGTTTCCCCAAAAGAGGTTGCCCTAAGTATAAGGATACAGAGGAAGGGGCATGGGTTGGTGAGTCAAGTGTCCTGGGTTTGAGTCCCAGCTCTGCTGCTTACTGACTCCATAGCCACTATAAGTTTACTCTGAGCCTCAGTTTCCTCATTGTGAAATGCAGCAGTAATTTCCTCACCAAGACACTGTGAGGATTAGACATAGTAATAGCAAAGTCATATACTCAACAAATATTTATTCCATTCCTATTGTGTGTCAGACTCTATTTTCAGTGCCAAGCATACATTCATTGACAGGACAGACAAAAATATCTACCCTTACAGAGTTGGGAATGGTTGGGGAGTAAGACAATAAACTAGATAAATATGTAAAATATAGAGAGTGTTTAATGACATTAAGCGCTATGGAAAAAGACAAAACAAGAAAGAGGAATGGTGCAAGTTGGTACAATTTTAAATCAAAACGGCAAAGAAGGCTCATTTGAGGTGACATTTGACTTTGAAGAGGAGACGAAGTGAGGCATGCCAGTGTCTGTGGAAAGAACATTCCAGGCAGAAGGTCACAGCATTTGCAAACGTCCTGAGGCCAGATCATGCTTGGAGAGTTCAAAGAACATCAAGAGAGCCAGTGAGCAAGGGGAAGGGAAAGGAAGGGGAGAAATGAGGTGGGAGAAGGGAGACAGATTGTGTGAGACCATAAAGGCCATTGCAATAACCCTGACCACATAAATGTTAGCGAGTTATTATTATTGCCTATAGGTAAAATGTTCCAGTGTGCATTATGCCTCAAATAAGAGTATTTCGTAAACCCTCCTTCAAAATCCTGTGCCCTTCTAAGAATGTTTTTAAAGATATCCTTCATTTAAACAAAATGGCAAGGCGTCTAAGTGCAAAGGACAAAATTCCAGAATTCTCATGGCCAATCTGCTCTGTGGGTTCTTTTCTTGCAACAGCCACCCACTCTGCCTGGGAGCCCCACTCATGGAGGGGGGGCAGGAAAAAGTCAACTCGGGTTTTCTTTTTTCCCCCTCTTCCTTTCTACAATAGGAATAGCTTTTCCAAGCTGCCCGAGAATTTAAAGTACACCTTCTTTTGTTGTGCTGCTGATACAGTCGCTTTTGCTCTTACAAATTCCCAGAGAAAATTTGTATTCATTCTGAAAACAGGAAAGTTTTGTTTAAATACAACACTCTCACCCAATCACTGAATAGATACAGATTAATAATTCCTAAGATTTTCAACAGAAATATTCAAAAACCTTTTCATGATATGCAAAGGCTTTTATTTTAATCTCAGGTCTCACTTTATTTCCTGCTCTGGGGCATAGGAAAGGAGAAGCAGGAACCAGTATTTTTATTTGCAGTAAACACATTTTGCCAATAAAACCATAAATGATAATACTTTTTTTCTAAAGGTCTCTGGCTTACTCTGCTCTCATTTGAACTTGAAATTAAGAAGGAAGGAAAGCCCTCCCATTTCAGCAGGAGTTGCTGCAAACCTGCTAATCAAAACAAGTCATTTTTAAAATTATAAGTGAAAGTTTAAACCAGACAGAGAATTTTCACTTGCAATAAGGATTTTCAAACCCAAATGTATCTTCTGTTTTTAAAATATACTTTTTCCCTGTTAAAACATGGTTCAATTCTCCTCCAAGTATAATGAAAAGAGGCCATGGTACAATCGGAGCTCCCTCTTTTATTCTGTGTTTTGTAGCTAAAGGTCTTCAATAAAATTCCCCAGAGCTAAAAACATAAAACTGTAAATTAGTTTGAGAATTCTTCATTTAACTGTTAGATTCAGCAAGATTGTTTAGCTGATTCTCCCATTCCATACATTTCATGAATCAAAAATAGACCCCTGCCACTGACCTATTACCAGCACCATGTCTGTCTACATCTCTCTCTCTCTCTCTCTCACACACACACTCACTCATTCTCCCTATCTAAAGAATGACTTTCTCTGGTAAAGATGATATGATCTGTCCTGATCTGAGGGAAGTGATTCCCAGAAATCTGTGGTCATAAGGTCCTAAAAAGGCGGTATGGCTTTAGCTGGAGAGTCACGCTGTCCCCTTATGATTTTTAGAGACGTTCTTGCATCAGGGCAAGAATAAACACAGAGAATCACTTCCTCATCTAGTGCACACACTTTTTTTGGTCCATGTCCCAGACAACTGCTTAGTCCACGTTCCCAGGAGAAGCACCTCTCTCACAGCATGTTTGTACAGACCAAATTTGCTTCTCACGAGGCAATGCAACTTTATTTGGATGCCCTGTTCATTTCTTCATGTTTAAGAAAATGTTCAAATTTCCAAATGACATGGTCAGAGATCTCTTTCTCTTAACAGGATCCCATTTCTGAATCACCTCTTGATTCCTTGGAGAAGGAAATCTATGAGAGCTAAACCTACTCCTGACTGCAAATTGCATCCTGCTTTGTATTTATTTCCTTTTCCTTAAATTTGCAGGAAGAAGTATAAGGTTTTTAAAGACACCGATGACTTTTCCTCCTTTGAGCTGCTGTGTCAGAAATCCTTAAAACAGAACATGTACCACTACGTCATAGACAAACTATGGCCGTGTCTTAAATTATCCAAAAAGTTCTTATGGCCTTCCTTTGGTATTCTGTTGTGAAAATAAATAAGTAAATACATAGATACATGTTCTGCCTCACAGGACTTTTGCAAACTGCAAGGATGTATCTTACATTTAAATTTTGGTAATTTTTTTTTCTGTGCATCTCTTTCAAGTCATCTCTTTCAAGTAAAATCCTGTTTTTGTTCCAGCACAGTCCTAGTTGGAAAGATATAGAGAAAAAAAGGAGAAGTTTTTTGCAAAAAAGAAATTGAAATTCTATCTCTTAAACTGCTCTTACCATGTTTTAAGAGGGTCTGTTCTGATCAGCACACCAAGTATTTCTAATGCATTAGGGATGAAACGATCATTATGTCTGGTCATTTATCTGGAGCTTGCTGCTGAGGATGCAAGATAGACGTGTAATCCACCCTTAGCCACATTCTCCAGCTCCCTTCGGTCCGGATTGTGAGTAGAGTTGCTATAAACACATGGAGGAAAGCTCATGAAAGTAAATCTGAGTCTGACTCATAACAATGTCTCTACAGTCCTATGGAGGATACGTTTCATCACTGGCCCTTGCATCTGGAACTGGTCTTTTCAAATGTGGGATAGCAGTGGCTCCAGTCTCCAGCTGGGAATATTACGGTATGGAAACATTCATGAATGTTACCGTGAAAGCATTTAACACGTAATTACTGTACATTTGATGTTGCTAGAAAAATGGATTATGCAGTAAAATTCACCCCAGCATCACTGGGGAAAATATAATTTATAAACAAAGTTGTTTATATCATTTATATAAACATATTGTAACAATCGAAGAAACCTCAAGAGTGAGGAAAGGCTCTTCTTCCATAATCCACTATATCTTATTTTCTCCCAGAAACCTTGAGCCCCTGCCGAACCAAATCTTTAAAATCAGAGCTAACTCTGTTTTTGCAGGCACACAGCTACAGCATAATTGACTTTTAAGCACATCTTCTGCACAGTCAGGCCAGAGGCCAAGCAATTCACCTCCATGCCACAGTTAGCAATTGCCAGCTCCGTTGCCCCAGAAATCAAAGAAACAAAAAGTTTGTTGGAGAAATACTCCTGTGTGCTCCTATTTTTATCATTACATCAATGCAGGATGATTATTTGGAAGGAACTCTAATAATTATACAAAAATTAGCTTCATCGGATTCTCTCCTCTGTATTGGGGTAGATATAAAACAATTGTGACTTGTAGGGGATCTTGATTAAGAAAAAAAGTGTGTGCATCTATGTATGTGTGTAGGGGGAATGGATTTGGGGAACATATTTTCATTCCAGATGAAATAAGACACCAGTAAAAGTCCTAAAGATGGCTTGTTTTGTGATTTCCTTTAAAATATATTGAGACCATTCTACAGGTCATTCCTACTTCAACATTCTTCCCTAGGAGGGTAGAAGTGAAAAATATTAAGACTAGTCATAGAAAGAAAATATTTAGATGCTCCTGTTTCCATAATCTCTTCCTTCGTACTTCTCTAGCTCTGTTGAGGCAAATTGCAGAGATTACACATATTCTTTGAGACCAACCATTACAGCCAAGTAAAGCAAGAATTTACCTCAAGAGCTCAGGATGGGAAAGTTGAGAAACAGTTATTAAACTAGAAGGTCTTATTGGTTAATGAAATGACATGCATCACATGCAAACAATGTATATTCTTATATATTTTATAGCGTCTGTCTACACAGAAAGATTCATGGGTCTTCCCACAAAGGATGATAATCTTGAGCACTACAAAGTAAGTGTTTCCATTTTATTTAGGTTATTAATTAATTTCTAATATGCTAAATAATTTAAAAGCAGTAGTTCAGAGTTTAGAGTTTTAATTCTGGGTCCCCAAGCAAATATAATCTTTTGTTAATTGCAAAACGCTTCATTAGAAAGGGTTTTACTCCTTTTGGATTCTGTTCTTGCTTTTCCCATCCTCCCTTCCCTAACCTCTCTTTTCTCAATCTTCCTCCCCACCCCCAACCCCTACACAGCTTGAGCGGGCATCATTTATGCCTAAGGTCTCACTCATATGTAACATATGACACATAAACTTTCAGTTTTTCAAACTAAGAATCAGATGGAAGTAATGCAAATGATGATGAAAATGTGTTGCTCTGACTCTTAAATATTTATCAAGCAAAGCAATACATAATTTCAGTATTGGTGCTAAGTCCATTGCACAATGATTTAGCTAGTTTTCTATTAGAACTTGCAGCAACTAAAATGTTAATTTTTTTCTCTTTTCCAGAATTCAACTGTGATGGCAAGAGCAGAATATTTCAGAAATGTAGACTATCTTCTCATCCACGGAACAGCAGATGGTGAGGTTTAAGCAAGACTCTTACACATAAAAATACTGAGCCAGCATCACTTTGTTTAAGAAACATTAAGCATCCTCCTATGCCTATGCTCAGGGTCAGTACCTAAGAGTCAGGGACATTTCCATATCTGAGTGTGATTCCTCACTGCTGACAATGTCAAATGCATGACTAGATAATTGTTGGTGTTCATTTCCAGGCAGTACATTGTCACTCTATGCTTTCTGGTATTTAGCCGCACTTTAACTCTCTCTCTTTGTTGCAGATAATGTGCACTTTCAAAACTCAGCACAGATTGCTAAAGCTCTGGTTAATGCACAAGTGGATTTCCAGGCAATGGTACATAATTTTGTTTTACTCATGTTCATGGCCTTAGACCCTCAAGCTAAAAGGAGGGGTTCATATTTTTATTTTTTTTAACTTTTAAAGTAAAATCTGACAAAGAGACTGCAGGATAGAGTAGGCAGAACATTAGCAAATGAATCTTGGATCTTTCTTTAACTCCTGAAGGACCCAAGGCAAACCAGATCACCTCTCGTGTTCCCAGTTGAGTCATGTAAAATAAAGGAGTTCACAAGATTAAATGATCTTCTAGTTCAAACATTCAGTAGTTCTGAAATCCTAGGTGAATAAGCAGCTATATGTTTAGAGTCCCTGCAAAACCTGAGCATCCTTAAGCAGCTAAAAGATGCTGTTTGTTCAGGAAGAAGCAGCTGCAGAATGTCATCACAAACCTACAAGGCTCCCTGAAATCATATGGCTCCATTTGGGGTTAGAGGACTTTTCACCTATGTATTCTCATCCCCTGGCATACACCTGGCCTATCACAGATACTCAGCTTCTTACTGAGTGAATGAATGAATGAGCTAAATGTAAAATCCAGGTTTCATGAGGAATGAAAAATGGAACCAGAAAAGAAAATAAAGTGAAAGCCAAAGTTGGGGGAGGGGGCATTCTTGGTAGCTACCTTTTCCTCTCACAAATGCTCCCTCAGTTGCTTGAGTTGAACAAGAACCCGGAAAAGGAAACCCCCATCTTTTCAACATTTGTTTAAAAAAATGTACTGGCTAGGAAGGAAATGGGGGAGGGGGTATAAGGAGAAGGCGGTTGAGGGGTACAAAAGACAGTTAGATAGAAAAAAATAAGTTCTAGTATTTGAAAGTACAGTAGGGAAATTATGGTCAATGATAATTGATTGTATAATTCAAAATAGCTGGAAGAGAAGAATTATAATTTTCCCAACATAAACAAAATTTGTTTGAGGTGATGGGTATTTCAGTTATCTTGATTTGATCATTACACATTGTATTCAGCTATCAAAATGTCACTGTACACCCAAAAGATAATACAACTATTATATATCAAATGTTTAAAAATATACAAAGAGTGAGGTGAGTTTTTTCTGACCTTTTTTACTGTGATCCCCAAAGTAAATTCAACTTAGTAAATATATATGTTATTACATGGTGACCACTGCTACCTTTATTCAGTGAAAGCAATAATCTTAGTGGCATCTCTCCAAGAGTGAAGTTTAAAGTTATAATACTATCTTTCACTTTTTTAAAATGCTATTTTTAACTCCTAAAAAGGGTATTTATGGCTATATGTGAATACATTATATTGTGGATTTTCTGCAACAGAGACGAATTAGATTCACAAGTTGAAAGCCTCATGGAATTTTTGAGCTACAAGGAATCTTAGGGAAAATCAGCTCCAACCCCTTTGTTTTTCAAATGAAGAAACCAAACTCCAAAGAAGCAAAGTAACAGACTCAGTGCATCACTTCTGGTAACTCTGATTCCTGATCCTGATCTTCCAGGATGCTGGATGATGTGAGATCTCAGCCACTGAGATCTAAAATATGTTTAAAGCGTGTGAAACAGTAGTGGAGGTTAATGAAAGCTCTTCCTGCTGTAAATATTTACATGTAAGCTATTTTATTTATTCGTGTGTTCTTAGATAGAATTTCCCCATAACAGAAAGATTATCAGGTCCTAAGAACACAAAAATGTCCAAGCTAAATGTGTTTTGTGACTGCAAGAATAAAACAAGATTCTTTCTTTGTGTTTCAGTGGTACTCTGACCAGAACCACGGCTTATCCGGCCTGTCCACGAACCACTTATACACCCACATGACCCACTTTCTAAAGCAGTGTTTTTCTTTGTCGGACTAAAAACGATGCAGATGCAAGCCTGTATCAGAATCTGAAAACTTTATATAAATCCCTCAGACGATTTGCTTGTTTTATTTTTTATGTTGTAAAATGCTGGTATAAACAAATGAATGTTGTTCTAAAGGCTGGTAAAAAAATGATGAGGACTAAGAAGTTCATGATAAATATTGTTTACATTTTCTGGTACTCTGTGAAAGAAGAGAAAAGGGAGTCATGCATTTTGCTTTGGACACAGTATTTTATCACCTGTTCATTTAAAGAAAAATAATAAAGTCAGAAGTTCAAGGGCTATTATGCTGTCTGTATTCACTGATTTCAGGTTCCAGGTTCTATCACAGAAAGAAGTGTTTGTGCAAAGCAAGGGCATGAATATTAGGGTGGTCGTGGAGGAGAAGAATCTAGAAGCAGTTTTGGATTTCTGTCATAAGAACTCCAAATACTGGAACCAACAGCTCAGAGTAGGCAAAAGCATTGTTCAGAAAATGCAAGTGAATCACGTTTGAGATGTTTGCACTCTATGCTGTCCCTCCAAGAAATGTTTATTTCATTTCTCCCAGAAGATTTCTTCAACATTGCCAAAAGCATTTGATAAAGATAAAGTCAGACTTTTGAATTCAGGCTCCTTTTAAAAAAATGCTTCTAATTTGGAAGTGTTCCTATTTTGAATCCATTTTTAGAATTAGTAATGGTAACTGCTTTCAGATTGCTAACCCATAACCAAATCAAACCAAACAAAAATCAATCAATCAATCAATAAAATGGACATCAATGGCTAGAGAGGAAAATTTTATATCTATGAGGTTTTTCTGGGGTTTTAGTTCTACATTATAAAGTTCATATTGGAAAAAAATAGCTGTAATGCCTACAGTCCTAAAGCAACGCATTGCCAGTTACTACCACCTACATTTAGAAACTACCAGTGACCTGCCATCTCTGTGACTGCCTCAGAATTAAAAGATCCATACCAGGTCACCAGAAGATATTTATTGAATGAATGTTGGAAGTATCCACCACACTGCTGTCTAAGGGACTTTTCATTGTGTGATCCCCAGCACTGGATTGCCCTGGGTAATTTCTCCCCATCCCTAGCTTGATACTTTCTTTCCAGTTGCAGGTTGAATCCCC